AAAGGGGCAAATAACTGATACTCTTTATAATTATACGTAATTTTAATTTCACTTTCTGTTAATCGTATTATAAAAACATGGAAGACCATTAAATATTTATTCCAGTTTAATTTTATTACAGGTAAAAGTCAGATGAAATTTTAGTGTTTACTTATACAACTCTATTTAATAAATAAAAATATTTTCACAGTAAAATTTATGAGCACTAAATGAAAAAACCCAATTTTCCCCGGGTTTTTTCAAATAAAACCCAATTTTCCCCGGGTTTTTTCAATAAAACCCAGGTGGGTTGGGTTTTTTCAAAAATCCCCGGGTTTTTTCAAACCCTGCTAGTTTTAGTTAATATAGAATTGGAATTAAGGTTTATATCTATACTTCATTTTACCTCAAGTTGGCACTACAAAGAAAGATAGGAAATGTAATACGCCTTTAAAAAGTAATTAGTTGAGGAATTTATTAGTTTAAATGCACGTACAAATATAAAATTTTTTATAGTAAGAAAGTTTTATGTTGAAACATGAATTCAATCTAAAAATACCTTTTCACTAAGGTGGTGTTTAAGTTTGGGAATGAATTAGTTTCTAATGTTGAGGAATCAGCGTATTGGATATGTTTTTGCCCTGGTGGTCAGCCAGCTCTTGAGAGTCTCCTTGCCATTGCTATATTGTCTAATTGCAGTTCTTATTTTGCTTTCTTTCCTGTGCATTGCTTAATTGGTATTCTTTTTTTATTCTGTTGTATAATAGAAGCAAATATACTTCAGAATAATAAATCACTTTTATAACAAAAAAAAATTTCAGAAAAAAAAAAAACTTTTTTAAAAGAAAAGAACTGAAAATATCTCACAAACATCCCTCTCCCATAAACACATATGTAATTAATGTACATAAATCTAAAAATAAAAAGTTGCATAGAAAAATAAGTATGTAAAGCAAAGTATGAGCATCTATGCATTTTATTAGATTTAATCAAAAATAAATTTAGTTTAAAATTAGCTTTGTTTAGTTGAATATCTATTTATAAGGATATCTATTTTTAAAAAATCATAATAAGAAACCAGCTTACTTCTAAATGCTTTTAAAAAATTTTATTCTTTTCTATATTTTGTTCAAAATGGAATTCTTGTTGGAAAAAAAAATTTAACACTTTTCGGTAATGCCAATATTGGCCACTTCCTGTTTTTTTTTTTGCTACCTTGTGCGCTGAACCAACTTAAAACCCAGTTTCTATGACAACGGCTGCATATCCTTTCTCCAGTGCCAACTTGAGGTGAAACTATGTATAACTATATTTTATAATTGTTTAATTAACAGCTTAAAGAATTCTGAACAAAGAATAAATATAAATAAAATTTCATCATATCCAAAATATATTAGAACAAACTTTGTGGATAAGATTTTAAAAACAATTATCATATTCGTCGATAAAAAAATTTCAAAAACATACTCATCATATTTGAACATAAAATCGTCACTTTCAATAACATCTTGAAAAGGCCCTTCCATATATAGATCATTTATCAACCTAGAAAATAAAATAAAAAAATTTTCATTACACTTGTAAAATTTTTAGTTAATGTAATTAGACATAAAAAAATCGAAAACTATGTTCAACTAACTTTAGCACCCAAAACACAGTAATATCTCAAAACATATTCAGTGGTATTTCATACTTTAAACCCTGACTATTAATCAAATTTAATTTAGATTAATTAGGACCAAAATAATTCTAAGATATAACAAAAAAGCCCAGTAAGAATGAAACTGCAAAAAAGCGCTTTTGATTTCTTTTATAAAAAAATTAATGCACTAAGTAAACTATAGAACTTTTTCTTATCTTTCATTTGATTAAGAAATTATTAATTATTTTCTGTAATATTTACATTAAAAAAATCACTTGATTACATTAATATCAAAACTATATTTAGCTTTCATGTAATACTACAGCAAAAATAATCATTTTACAAGGAAAAAAATATGATTGGAAAATTTCTATATTGTGATCTGCAGTCAAATATTTGCCAAGCCTTCACAACTTCTGGGCAAGAGCTCAAGAGAAAAAGAAAAAAAAAACATAGAAGTGGAATAACTCATAAGGGTCCAACTTGTACCCACCTCTAAGCAAACCTCTAAATTTTTTTTTAAAAATTTACAAGATTAAAATCTATTTAGCACCTTGGTGAATGTAAATGGTGCGGCATACCATGATAGGGAAATATCCCCCATAAAATCTAAAATATTTTTTACATAATTTTGTCAATCTTTCATAATTAAAAATATAAATACAGTACAGAACCCGTTATCCGGAAATCAGAAAACCGGAACGAAATTCGATAAATTTTCCCGCCATTTTTTAAACAAATTTTTTTTTTCCTTATAAGATTTTAGAATCTTTCTTTCTTTTTTGAAAGATGTTCACCTTACCATCATTTTGGAAATAATCATTAGTGTATTACTTCGTTTTTTCTTCTTTTCAAGATTATTTCCTAAAAAAAAATTTTTTTTAGTTGGGTTTAACAATAAAAAAACGGCTTTTTGTAGCGATTCAGAAAACCGGAAAAATCAGTTATCCGGAATAGTGACTCAATCGTTCCGGATAATCGGTTCCCTACTGTACATTATTTGTAATCAAAAAACCTCTTTCAGAATTAAAAGAAATATTGAATATAATAAGTAAATGGTAAACATTCTGAATTGTAATTTGACTGGTAGGAAGTATTGAATTATATCTATTTCTTTGGGTTCTTCAAGCAAGTGGTAATACTAAGAACAATCTGTCAGAATCTTTGTGAGGGTTCCAGAAATTGCAATTAATTGTGGTCTGGAATCACTAAAATTTGTTGCAGACAATCTTGAAATAATCAATGGCATCAAAGATGAGTAAAAGACATTGAGAGATAGCATACTATTTTTTATTTTTAGTTTTTGCCACAGTTATTGCTCTAAACTAAGACAGCATATTTCATTATTATTGAGAACATTACAGATTGCAATTTTTCATTCACATTCATAAAAATTTTTTTTTTTTCAAATAAAAATCTATAAGTAAATGACGCAATGAAAAGGTGTACGAACTAATCTTTTTTAATTTCTGGTTTACAGATCTGTGACTTAAATTCTTATTATCTACCCTAGTATAACACAACAGCCAAGAAAATAACTTATAGTTAGATTTTATTGAAAAAATAGTACTTTTAATTTCAAGGAGAAAAAAAAGACCAAAGAGAAAAATATAAAGAATAGAGAACTAAGAAAAGAATTAACTAAAAAAATATTGATCACCACTTCTAAAAAATTTATTAATACATTTGTTTTTGAAAATAAGTTAAAAATTTAGAAAGAAAAATATTTAAAACTACCACAAACCCTATACTTTATTATAAACTAATAAAATTATCAAATATTTTCTGTGGAGTACAAAATATGGATTTACAGAAAACTACTGTTATGAAAAAACCAAGAATTTTGAGAAAGGTCCAGTGTCGAGCTGGAATCTAATTATCTACAAATCTAAAATAAAATTATCATATTTAGAATAAAACTAACTAAATTACTCCAAAATACTTCCGCAAATAGGTGAGTTATGCTACAGAGCTTTTAGAGCAGGCTGCAAATTCTTCAATTCTTAAAAGTAAACAAACTTGCTAACTTTTCAAGGATCCAGTTTCTATGTAAAGGAGGAATTAGTCCTTATTTAATAATTATCTTATCAATACTTCAAATAATTTGATTTGGAAAGCAAACTACAACAAGACCAGTAAAAATCTTAAAGAATAATAAAATTCACAATTTGTTAGAAACTTGGAGAACATTTTTACTACACATGGTTTGATCATGCTGTTCAAAATGCAACAATCAGATTGATCTCTAAATGTATAAATAAAGTTTGTTTTTTTTTGGAAAAAATCGCCATAAATATACAGCTAATGCATTTAAAAATAATTTGGATTAAAATAACTCCACTCATCTCACAAGATTTAAACTAATTAAACTTTTAAGGCAGTTTTTGAACCGGAGTTTAAGAAAATATTCGAGCTAACTCCAAGCCAGGGAACTCGCCCAGTTTTATAACAATAAATAAGCGGATCAAATTGTGCTGGATGTGATTAATGATGTTAGGCGCTTAGGTCTAAATATCACAAATTTCCGTAGAACTATAAACTTAGGAGTACAGCTAGGTTGAATAGTAGGGAGTTATTTTGTTGAAAATGCAAGTTTTGGAACAGCTGGGATTCACTCGGAAAACCAATCATATAATCGTCATATTAACAAATCTTCGTACAAAACTTAATCAGATTAATCTACGAAACTTATTCTGAATTAAAACTTGAATGACAGAACAATAATTCCAAAAGAAAACAGTTCCTGTAACTCATGTGTAAAAAAAAAAAAAATTTCACCAAAACAAATATGCACCCATCTTCACATTACACTTCTGAGCACGTACACATTTTTTCAATAGGAAACATTATAAAATATTATTATCTTTGAAAGGTAATTATAAGTAAGTCAGATTTTTAGATCTGATTGCTTATCTTGGAGCATTCAAAGACAAACTGTCATAATTAATTGTCAATTATAATATTAATATCCACTCCACGTTGGCAAATTATGATACTTACGATGGTGTTAATAAACTTGACTCGATCATTGTGTAAACTTAGATGAACAGGATCGAATTATTGAAGAAATAAAGAATGGCAAACAGTAGCTAAAATAACTAATATCACCGCATGCATACATTCATCCACAACATTTATTCCCAAAACCACGCGGTTGCAACGCGGCACCAGTAAAACGTGGTAAATCAAAAGAAAGATACACAGAGCGCGGATTTCTTCCTTCACTTCAGATCTCTGAATTGGATTGTACAAACTGTACGATTGAAATGTTCACTGTCCCTATGATTTCATGTAGCGATTCTTCTTTACTTTTCCATGTTCATTCGTTTAATTCATTTTACTTTTCAAAGTTTTTCCAAAATACAGATTTTCTAAATACTGGCAAACGTTGTTTTCGAGACGGTTCGCGTAGCTGGAAATGTAGATATCAAATATGCAGAATTAATAGGAAAAATTTTTCGTCGCTTGTTCCACTGGTACATTATGTTACGAAACTAGAATTATTGTAAGAAAAATAAATTGTCCATTTTAATTTACATTTTCGGAAGTGCAAAGTTACAGTTGTTGTTGTTGTAGTTCATTTACGTCACGTCCCGCAGTGGACTGATCGTTACGACACGGTTCCCAGCAGATCACCGAAGTCAAGCATCACTGGCTACGGTCAGTGTGCGGGTGGGTGACCACTTGGATCAGTCTGTGTAGGGCCGAGGGTCAGCGGTATTGGTCCTCGTTAAACTGTTCTACCGTAAAGTGCTTGACTTCGCGTGCAGGTCGTTGGGCTACCGAAGCGGGGGTGCCATCCCCTCTGCAGAGGATCAAAATTGTGACGGCATATCTTCGGATCATCCTCAGGGATGTTTCCCAGACTGTCGCCAATAGCTCATTGTACAGCTCTAGTGCGACGTAAATAAACTACAACAACATCATTTACGTCTCACTAAAGCTGCGCAATGGGTTATTGGCGACGGTCTGCTGGGAAACATCCCTCAGGATGATCCGAAGACATGTCATCCCAATTTTGATCCTCTGCAGAGGGGATGCACCCCCGCTTCGGTAGCCCGACGTCATGCACTCGAAGTCGAGCACTTTAAGGTAGAACAGTTTAATGAACACCAAAACCGCATACCCTCGTTCCCTACGCAGACTGATCCAAGTGGTCACCCATCCGCACACTGACCGCAGCCAGTGATGCCTGACTTCGGTGATCTGCTCGGAACCGTGTCTTAACGATCAGTTTACTACCGGCAAAGTTACAATAATTTATGAATTTGAGAATGAATTAAATTTTTGATGGAATAAATTCCTCTTTATGAGCTATAAAGCTTAATAAAATAATTAAATTTTAATTTAACTTTAAGAATATTTCCTACATTCAATTTAAAGTAAAACTAATTCCTAAATTTTAATTTTAATTAAATACATATACAAAATTGCAATTCTAAACACTTAATAAAATTCAATTTATTGAAATTTGAAGATTTTATTTTAAAATTCCTTACGGGACTTAATTCAAAAAGATATAATTTTTCATTTAAAATAACTGTTGAAGCTTAATTTAAAACAATTAATAAATTTTATCTAAAAATAATTTTAAAATATTATTTTGAAGTAATTAATAAATCCCTGATTAAAAATAAATATAGTTGAACTTCGATTATCCCGACATTTTTCATCAGAATACTTCTGTTAATTAAAATCGAATCTAATTTTTCATTTTCTGATTATCAAAAATAAGTCCGGTCCCATTGCTAAGAGTTAATCGAGGTTCCGCTATATTAATAAAATATAAGCATAATAAAGAAGAATCTGTTTATCTTCGTATCTAATTTTGGACAAATGGCACTTATAGTTACGAAATGACTGATGAAAGTATGTATAAACCCTGATTGGAGTACCTACAAACCTAATTTTAATAAATTGATTACAAAATTTTTATTTAAAAAAGTTGATTTAAATGAGCTGTTTAGTTTTAGTTACGTTATAGCTCAATTATCGATTCTCAGCAAGATACTCTAACGAATTGGTGCGTAATTTTATTATTTCCTTTAAAATATGTTGTGCCTAGATCATACCTCGGAACCCATGAACCATGTTTTGAAATTTCTTGGGATCCTTTTTTTCACCAAGGGTCCAGCAGCAAAAACTCGCAAACAGCAGATTTCAGAAGAAAAAAATGAACAATAACAATAAATAATAATAACCAACTAGCAAGACGAAGTCCATTTTTTTTTTCTTTTTTAAACTAAAAAATATTCCTAATAAAATAGAAATCGAGTGAAAATTTAAGATTTTTCTTTTCTGTCATCATTAATGAATGATATCATCATAAATGAACGATTTCTGTATCATTAATGAACGATAAGGAATTATCTCTCTCATTTTTTAAATCTGAAACTATACCTTAGAAACCATTCCTTAGGCAAGTGAAAGCTGCTTACAGCTACACAATTGCAGAAAATTATGTTTTCGGAAAAAAGTTTTAATTATGTTTTATTATAAGGGGTTATAATATTTAAAAAAGGAGAGAAACATAATTAACTATTTTTAAAAAAAAGTTGAATTTTTTACCTAAATTTTAAAATGCCACTCCTTTTCCAGTTTTGAATCTGAAACAATCTTTTAATTATAATATGTTTTTAATTACATTATATAATTAAATATATAATTTAATATATAATTAAATATATAATTAAATATATAATTAATTTAATATTTAATTATATTATATAATTATTAAGTAATTATAATCTAGATATATCATGTGATATAGCTAAATTATAATTAATTGATTATTATAATTCAGCTATATTATAGGAGGAAGTTCCAAGTTTTTTGGAGGCAATAATAACTTTCTTTTCAGTCATAACTAATAACATCAGAACAACTTTTATGTGGTATGTGGTTCCACTTTTTGAAATGCCTAGTATTAATCTTTCATTATCTTTTCCTTGCAAACAATGGGCACCATTTCATTCTCCAATTTAATTATTTTTGGTCTTAACTCAGTTAACTTTGTTTTCATTTCAAAATTTTTTAATCGACTAAATATACGAATCGTAATGTGTTAATTTTAAATTGTTTGAGAACAAATAGCGATGTGCTTTTTAAATCGTGTGAATACGAATCACGATGTATGATTTTTAAAGCACGTGAATTTAAATCATGATTTGTGACTTTTAAGTCGAGTGAGTACGAATCGTGATGTATGATTTTTTTTAATAGCGTGAATCGAATTGCGATGCGTGATTTTTAAAATGCATGAATACAAATGTGACTCTATTCTGGACGAAAGAAATAAGAAATACCGATTTCAGGGCCAAAAGCATCGAAGGAGGAGGAGACTCAGGTATATGATGTCATACCCATTCCTTCGGTCCGTACAACCATAGGTATTCTGAGCGTGTAACGTCATGTTCTTAACTTCCTGCCTCTCATATATAGCTCGGCCAGAAGTTGAATTGCAGGAGCAAAAAATTTTTAAAAGCTTGGTGTCAAAAATGACGACTGGTTGTGTTTCTGTTTAAAGAATTGTGTGCTGCCATCTATATTTCAATTTAAAATGTCACGTGATTAGTAAATGTTACATGCAGTTTAGTTCGCTTTAATATGTCGTTGTTGTTGTTGTTGTTCATTAACGTCGCACTAGAGCTGCACAATGGGCTATTGGCGACGGTCTGGGAAACATCCCCGAGGATAATCCGAAGACATTCCATCACAATTTTGATCCTCTGCGGAGGGGATGGCTCCCCCGCTTTGGTAGCCCGACGACCTGCGCGCGAAGTCGAGCACTTTACGGTAGAACAGTTTAACGAGGACCGATACCGCACACCCTCGGTCCCTACGCAGGCTGATCCAAGTGGTCACCCACCCGCACACTGACCGCAGCCAGTGATGCTTGACTTCGGTGATCTGCTGGGAACCGTGTCGTAACGATCAGTCCACTGCGGGACTCAATATGTCGTACAAATAGGTATTGTGTTTGTCGTGTTAGTATTTTGTGTATGTTTTTTTTTGTGTTCGTCATTAAATTATGTCAGTTTTAAGGGGTCGTTAGTTTCAATTAGTTAGTAACCAGGTTGTAATTTTCTAGGAGTAAAATTTAAGTTTTTCGTGGAAAATTATGACTAACGACTACTAATTTTTTGAACCCTGATTTCTGATAAAATAGCCGATGTAAAGTCTGTTCCCAATTGTTTATGCTACTGAATTAAAAACGCAATTACCAAATTTAGATAATTAGACTCGAAATATTAATGATATGCAGGAACAAGTAATAGAAATAAATAAAATAAAAAAAGCCGACAAGCTTCTTATACATACTCGCAATAGATCAATTTCGGGGAAACGAGATGATTCGTCAAGCCGTTCAACGGAGGATAAGTTTTGTTGGTATAATTCAAATCTGGCGATAAAGCAACAGAATATTATGTTGCTTTATCGCGAAATGTTATACATATGTGTGAAGCCTTTTACATTTCAGGAAAACTAGTTGGTCAAGCGCTGAAGGCCGTAATAACTCTCGCTTTCTTTCTTTTTTTTATGAAAAATTGTGTTGAGATATAAATCTTATGCTGATTTTAATATAAGATGTTGTTGTTGTTCATTTACGTCGCACTAGAGCTGCACAATGGGCTATTGGCGACGGTCTGGGAAACATCCCTGAGGNTTTTTATGAAAAACTGTGTTGAGATATAAATCTTATGCTGATTTTAATATAAGAAGACAAAAGATAAATAAACCGCACGCGTAGCGGATAAATGATGAACAGCATCTTAACTGGTTACGGTTGCGGCAGCGCGTGGTATATCGTTTATTTCGGTATTAAGAGATATCGATCGATGTCGTGACAAAAAAGCGATCACAATATTGATATTAAATATTGTCCGGATATCTTTAAATTTAAATTTGAAACTTATTTTTTGGAATTATAACAATTTGACGTCATTTTTTGCCTTTTAAATGATTAATTTTGATTTAAGAACATAATAAAGTTTAAAATGAAACGTTTTACAAAGAGACTTTTAACGTGAAATCGACGGGAATCGTACAACATCTTTCACACAGTGTCGATTTTCTTCGATATTGACAATGTCGGTTGATGTAGATTAAAGCTGTTACAATATCCCTGTGCTACTTGGGAATTAGAAGAAATAAAATTTCTTGTTGACACAGATTTAAGTGTTATAATTTCTACTTTATCGGAACGCAAGAAACCTACAACTGTTTTCTATTTAGTAACTGCTAACGGTTCCAAAATCGATGCATTCAGAGAACGATTATTGAAAAATATTGATCTATGCTGTATTTTTCCATGGATATTTACAGAGAGCCTGACAAAGGCAGGGGCATACGGGGCAGCTGCCCTGGGCCCACATCAGAGGGGCCCCCAATATTAAATAGAAAGTTTATTTTAGGTTTCTTTCTTTATTGAACTTTTTTTAAACAAAATATCAGTGCAGTGAAAAATCCGTCAGTTTTATGTTAGCTTCTTTTAGTGAATCCATCGTATGAACGCAAAAAATCTATATTTCGTAAATCCATGGCTTTCTAGGGCGGAATTCAGCTCGCAATTACGATGGACAAATTTGACCAATCAAAAGCTGTATTTTTACATATCGTGAAATGCAATATGTTCACAAAAATACAGGCTTCTGATTAGCTTAATTAAGCCATCATAACTGCTAAAATTTTGCTAAATCTTGCCCTAATGTCAACAAGGATAGGAATTTTTCGCAGCTAGATGTCAAAGTTAACAATCTGAAAATAACAGTCAGAAATCAGCATTCGGCTTGATTTACATAGAATTGTCAGAAAATCAATAAAATGGACAGAATGATATTTCGTCTGACCATTGGAGGAGGGGACTTAATAGGTATTTCAGGTTCTAATCAATTTTTTTGTTATATACGTATGAGATGAAAATTTAAATACCTCCATAAGCTTTGGTTCTTCATTACTGAAGCAGTGCCTCCCCCGCAAAGAAGTTTTTGCCCCAGGCCCTAATGAAGCTAAGTCGGGCCCTGCATTTACAATTGATGTTTCACTACCAAATTTAGGACTTTGCTACATCATTTTGGTATGATACTTGATTTAAAAGCAAAGAAACTAGTTGACCGTTCTAAAAAACCATCGCTAAAAATTATTGCTCTCTACCCATCTTCTAAATTTAACGTATTAATTAAGGTGTATAAATCTTTACTCGAAGATGTTCTGAAATTCCCATGTCAAAATTATAATTCCCCTATCGTTACACACGTAATGGACGGTTGACTGAATGTAAACAATAACAAGCTTCCTAAAACCGGAATTTTTTTAAAGAACTTCCGGTGTATCTCTCCCCTTAAGTTATGCTTAAGAGGCGATGAGAGAACAGGCTTAATATTCCAGGAAGTTTTATTATTGTGTTGTGTTAAAATTCAAGCATAGCTATACCATTAGTAAGAGTTTTCTGTAATTTATAAATTTTAACAAGTCGTGAGCCTAAAACAAATTTAACAAAATTAATATCGCATTATTTAATTTATTACAATCAAAAATAATAAATTAATACCTTGAATATACAGTAAATTAAAATTTTGAATTAATAACAAATTACCTTTATAATTGAACCATTTTTTGTGATTCAATTTGATTTCATTTTTGTGAAAATTAACATCAGAAAGTGATTTTTGTATTTAAGTGATTACTTTAAAGGCACAACATTTTATATTGATTTGTATTGTTCACTAATTTTATAGAAAATTTACAAATAGTCAGAGAAGCAGATTAACGAAAAAATCTAGCAGTTTTATTTATTTATATTTTGTTCACATAATCTGTTGACAAAACGATTGCTCTTGTTATTTGCCTGTCAATCTGACCACAGAGTGGTGAGAATAATATTTCAAACTCGGTGAGAATAATATTTCAAACTCCAATATTTTAAAATTATCTTCATAAGTGAAAGACCACAGGCAAACGACAGGAAATTTAATTAAGGTCAATGTGCCTAAATCTGACGTTCCCTAAATGTGACAAAGTTCAGTTACTTTTAATTCTAATTCAATAATCCTCCATAAATGCAATAGAATGAATAATTCATATCTTTTTTGTATCCCGACTAATTTAAAAAAATTTTAACGGGCAATTTCTTGTTGCAGTTTTATCGCTTATTTTTATGCTCCCCTAACATGTCCGAAATTTGACGTTTTCCCCTGAAATGAACTTCACTATCCCCGAATAGAGGTCACAGATAATACAACTTTGTCTACAGCACTTCTTTAAGCATCTTTTTAATTTATAACAAGAAAAAAATGGAAAAAGACCACTTGTATTAGGTTTAGAGTTGTAAAAAAACTTTCGTATTTAGAGCTTGATTCTTCAAGTGACACTAATTGCGGCAGTATGAAGTCCTTAAATGGGACGTTTTCTACGACCTTTCCAGAGTTAGATGCCAATTACAGCAACATGGTTATATGCTACACAGGTAATCATGGTTATATGTGATGTAGGTAATCATGGTTATATTCATGTTACCAACTATGTAATCAAAAGATGTGACAAGTAATTATAGATGCATGTTATCGTGATTGCACATAATCATATTGCAAGCTATCAAAATATATAACAAATAATTACGACTAGCTCTTATGATCTAATAATTGCAAATGGTATAATATGAGATTACAGTACAAATTCTAATACGAAAAGACATACAATATATTAAGGCATGCATCGTTAATATGTTAACAAAAAACTATTTTTAAAATATACACAAAATAAAAGATGACAAATAATAGTTTACTTTTTATTCAACATTTAAAAACTATAACAAATAAAAAGTACAGAAGAGCAAACAAATATCTGTTACACAGCTAATTGTAACAGAATTTTATGTAATTATAGTTTTATAAATAAATGCATAACAAAAAAATCTAGATTCTGAAAAGATATTTTTAGATAAAATATATTTGATTTAAAATTCTATAAACAATGTTAATATCAATTAAAAACATTTAACAAAATGTAACTTTTCAAACATAAATATGTTACATTTTATACAATTTGTTCTTTGTGAATAAATAGTGCAAGAAGATTTAACGATAAAAAAGTTTTATTTCTTACGATTAGGAAAGCTCATTGAACATGTAATTGTTTCTAAAATTTTTTAATACAGTATGCTGTAGAAAATTTATGAAGGCAATAAACAATATAAAATGGACGGAAGAATGGAATGATAAAACTTTTAAAAATAGAATGACCTCATTTTATATATATATATAAAACAAGGTTTTGTAAAGTTCAATCTTTGGCCTGATTCAAAAGTGATATGGCCATAATATATAAATGGAATGTCTTTATTTTAGATGGAAAACTACTGAATTTTTAAAAATGCAAAATAAAAAATACAATATCATACATTCAACAAGTCAGTCATCAAACATTTAAATATGAATAATACTAAACATAAAATGCATTTCATTTTAGTCATTTAACATAAAAATATTTCACAAAAATGCTGTTAGCACAAAGTGGTAATAAAACAGTACATTCAACAAAATTTTGTTAAATATGAAACAGAAATATAGCTTTTTAACTTTTCTTCACATAAGTTATGGGCACAAAATTAAGAACTTTTTAATGGCAAAGTGTATAGTTTAAACCACCATGCTGAGCCAGCAGCAGGTATACATTTGTAAGTATAAATGGATGCAGTTATTGCTTTACTCTAATCGTTCTTTGCTTGTTCATATTGCTTAACATTAGACTAATATATGATGTCAGTAAATCGTCCATTTTATAGCCCTATAAATAAACAAATATATTAACATATACTTGTCTCAAATTTATACAGAAGGAGTTTTATAAATCAACTAAATAAAACTCATAACAATTGTAGAGAGAATTTGATTAAAATAAAAGTTTTAAATTAAAAGTTTTTTTTATTTGTATTCAAACAAAATGTGTAATTTTGTCCTAATTGTAAGTCTTCTTCCTCCTTTTAAAAAATTTGAATAAGAAAGGGGAGAAAATGCAGTGACAATGTAAAAGGATTTGATGCTAATAATAATGGCACCTAAGTGAAAAAGTCTAACATTTTATGAGTGATTTGTTAAGAAGCATTATCTAATGAAGCATAAAAATATAATTAGGTAAAGATACTAGATAATAGTCTGTTCTGAATAAGCAGGAGTGTAGTTAGTTGTTAGCAAGATATGTGATGCTGTCAGAAAGAAAGCAACACAAAATTATGGAGCTCATATAAAAGAGACATGAGAAAATTACATTTAAAGTATGTAGAGGATTATTTAGTCCAGTTACATTTATCTTATAAAATATTTGATATATCACTGTCATTTATACAAATTTCATTTTATTCCTTTAAAGAATATTTTTAAGCATTCATACTGCAATTTTTTTAAAACATTAATGAAAATTTAACAGTGATATTCCTCTTAAATATTAAAGGATTTAATTTTTTTTTTAAACAATATAAATTAAATAATACAAAAAGAAACATAATTAACTTTATCTCCTTACGTTATTTCGTTTTAAAATGAAAAATGGTTTGGGGCTCTACTTACCAAAGGTGTTTCACACAGTAACTTGTTCCCTCTTACTAAATTGCCAATGGTCATATGAAAGTAAGTATTACCGCTACTCCAATTTGATATGCGGGTAAATGGATGAGTGACTAGTATGTCCTAAAAGAAAATAAAAACAGAACATTAATTTTACTGAAAAATGTAAAATTGAAACTCATTTATTAACAAATCTAGGTTTATTTCATTTCTTTAACAGTCAAATCATTAGGAAAATTTTTTAAAATTTCCTTTTAAAACAACAATATTCTTTTGTTTATCAGAAAAGCATTTTATAGCATTACTGTGATTTCTCCAGGGATAAAAATTTTTCGTTTCAGTAATCATCTTAATACTCAACTAATACAAGTGTTATTCATACAATGAATTGTTTTTAAATACAAGAAACATTTATTTTAAGTAGTGATCTTTTAAAATTTAAGTAACCTTGTCACTGGCCAATAATGTACCTATAAACAAAACCAGAAATAACTTAAATACTGTTGAAACAAATGACCTTTAAATAAAGATATGTCACCTAATTAAACTGTATAAAAATAGTGTATCCTATAACTAAAGAAGTTGCGTAAGCAATTAAGCAGTTATTCTTGTATGGGTGTCATTGAAACTAAAACAGATTGTAAAAACTCTGCTTCTAATAATTGAGGTATATTTTTTAAGGATACAAATAGATTCTTTTTCATTCTACTCGGAACAACAATATAAAGCTTTCCTAAGAAGTTTCTTCTAAAGAAGTCTAACAGATGCATGCTGTTTCTAATCAATCACCTTTAATGTTTTAAAATCTCTTGACATCGTCAAAGCAAATGAGTGAAAGTCTTCATTTTTAAACACTATCTGGCTAGTTGTAGGTTAACAGCTTAGTAAGGTTGCTATCTTCTGATATAACTAAGTATTCAATATACGTAATTCAGTTCAATGACTTTTATGTGTGGTTGCTAATATCGATTATAAATTTCATAATTTTAAAGAATTTACTAGATATTATTTTCTTGGACATAATTTGAAAATTTTACATACTATTTTTCTTCCTTCAAAAATTATTAGTCTGTGTTGGAAATGCTTCTTATTGTTTTATTAATAATATTTGAAAATGTAAAAAAAACAGTAAATAAATAAATAAAAAAACAAAGAAATTTCTGTAAGAAGAATAAAAGATGTTTTGGATAGTGTTGTACCTTGTAACTAAAGCTTAGGTAATTTTCAAAGATAAGAATTCATATAACAATAGTTGTAATAAACATAGAGGTGTGTCTGTAATGGTATTTAAAATGTAAAAACAGCTAAATATTTAATACAGCCAAATAAATATTTTGTAATTTATCATTTCTTGTTACAGTTATAAAATACTGTTGGATATACAAAATAAATAAAAGTAGAACAAAACAACCAATATTGAAATTTGTAATTTAATTGATAATTTTCTTTGGAACTTTCAAAATTGTCAAATATTGCTTCGATTTGTACACTGTTTCCTTATCAAATAACATAAAAGAAATTGGTCTGCTTTACAAGAAAGCATACAGGTAAAAAGATAATTTTAACATGAAGGTCTATAGGAAGGTAAATGTAACCACTAGCCAGCATACATTACAAAATAATCAACTATTGCAAAACAAAAAGTACGAAAAAAATGCATGAAAATGATATTAAATATAAGGATGCATACTTTTGAGGATGGATCAATCAAACTCACGCCATGTTTATTGATTGCTATCAACAACTGTTCGGGGAAATTAGGATCTGTTGTTTGCTGTAAAATGAAAAATTATGCTCAGTTAATGCTAAAAGTATAGATCAAATTTTTAAGAGAAAGCAATTTAACTTAATAATTTCATAATTAATTTTCTTCAAACCCAAGTTATTTTTTTAAACAAAACATACAAAAATATTAGTTTTTATATCTTTACAAAATACTTTGAACTGAACTGAACTAACTGATACCAACTGAAAAACTATTATTTTCTTACTTGATTTATTTTGTTTATAAAAAATAAAATAAAGAAGAAGAAAACTTATTTTACAAAGAAAAAAGTAAAAAACAATAAAAATTGAAATACTTTCTCAAGTTTTTCATGAAATTATGTTTAAATTGTTTTTGAAGCAAACAAATTTTTCTGAAATATATAAAAAAATTTAAAAATGATATGAAAAAATATTTATAACACATGATAAAATTAATATTGTAAAACATAAAATGTTATGTCCAAAAAAGTATTAGCACCAACGCAAAAAATAATGTAATGGCCACAAATAAAAATATTTAAAAGATGCATAGCTGTTGCGAAAACAAGTTTCCCCAATTAGATAATGTTAGTTAATTCTGTATTATGGTGCTGATGAAGATTGAAATGTTTTTATTACTGAACACTACACAGTTTTCCCTACTACTTGTTTCAGCACAAACATAACCCTCTTTTCTTGATTTAGGAAAGCAACTCTGCTAAAATGAAAAATGATTTTGACAAGTTAATTGTTTGTCATATTCAACTACAAACACCAACTCCACAATTCACTAACTTAATTCTATTGTTTGTCTCTCCGTAAAGGAAACGCTGTACTTAACAAGTATATTTTTAGTTCGCTATAAATTTTGTAGTAATTTGAAAAGAAAAAAAAATTCTTAGAAAAGAGATTTCTAAAATTATCGATAGAGTAACTTAATAGTTTCAAAAAGAAAATTAAGATTTTTTTATATGAAGAAAAGACCATTTTGGAAGTAGCTTTTCTGTGATTCTTTCTATTTCGTGGCTTCGGAACTATGATTAAAAATCAGCATTCTTGCTTTTGCAACTGTTACTTACTTCTGCAACTTTCAGTTTATAATAGTTTATCATTTTTCAGGTATATTTTGTACAAAGTAATACTTTTTATGGATATTTATTTGAAACGCATAACTGAGGCACTATCATTATTTACAGAGAGAAGAGGTTAAAAAAAGTGTTTAACCATTGTATTAAATATTAATGAATACTTAAAAAATCCATAAAATTTTGAAGCATTTATAGTATTCAAAAAATAATTTTTCTTAAAACTCTTACAAAAAAGATATGAATTCTTTCCTTCCATATGATATTAATCTAAATAGATAATCATGAAAGGCTAGACTTCTTAACTGCATACATTTAACTTCTTTTATCTATAATTTAAAGCAAGCAAGTAAGGTTAAACTGGCTCTGTTCCATATTATTTTAAAATTTTATTAAGAAACATTCACGGTGAAGAATACTCAAAGATTAATAGTTAACTCTGTCATATTAAATAAAATGCAGGCAAGATATTTCCATAAAAGTTATATTTTCTAATGATAATAACAACAACAAAGTTGCCCAATAAAAAAATTGCACTGTAAATATAAAAGAATAATCTTGTAAAATTATAAATATATTACCAGATATATATTAAGAAATTTTGAAAAGACAAAAGATCAGCATCTTTCTATTAAAATAAAAATTTTACAAAAAGTAGGTGGAATTACCTTAACTTCAAAAAAGGCAGATCCAAATGTAGGCCACTTGAAAATTACTTTGAGAAAATTGACTTTACTTTCTTCTGGACTCATGCCAGCATCTTGGTTGTATGCAGCAACAATGGACTGAAACAAGAATTAAAATATATTCATAGGATATAAATTTTTCTTTTCAAAGACAATCTTTTGCAATGCATATCAATGAAAAGTTAGAATTAAGTGTGAAGTTAGTGCAAGGATAATGTAATATAACTTAAGAAAACATGTGAGAAATTTAGCTATATATGTATATAATTGGAATTATATAAAAATTTTCAAAAATGGTTTTAAAAGAAAATTAAAACCAATTGATCGAATCTATAAAACAAGTTATGTTTAAAATGTAATAAAAAAAACAATTAAAAGCCTCAGTTTTATTACTTTTACCAAATGTGATACCCTAAACTAAAAAACTATTAAAACACTTTATTTTTTCAGTTTCATAAATTAATTTTAATATTAATGATGGTTTTTACAAAATATTACAGGCATAACTAAGAAGTATATGTGTATAACAGACTTAGCTATAATCCAGGAATTTAAAGTGAGTCAGTCAATGACATTAATAAAGTGATTTAATAAAACCAATAATATAAACAATAAAAAATATTTATTTTAAATTAAATTTGCGATTGATTAAAAATAAATTTGGCTAACAAATAAATTTGAAATCAATTAGCATAATTTTTTTTCAATATACTGACTTAATATCTTATAAAATTCCAAGCAATTCTATCAATTATGAGCTTGATGTTGAAGCAAACGTTTTAAATCATCAAACAAACGTTTCAAATTGAGTGAAATTTTTAAAAAAATTTGGATTATATTATAAAATTTTAATTCTGGATCTTACAAGAAATTTATAATGAACAGTAATATTACAAGCATAGGTGATGCAAATAAAAAGAATCGCAAAAATTCATCCAATAAAACCAAAGACCCTCTTAATTGGGATGAGCAATCTGAAAGAGCATTTTCAGCAGTCAAACAAGCTATCACTGAAGCCACACTTCTTAGACACTCTATTTTTAATGCTACTTTAAGTCTTTTTACTGACACATTGGATGTAGCGGTCGGTGGTTCTTTAATGCAATTACAAAATAATAGATGAGAACCTATTGCTTTTCTATAAATTAAACTCACTAAGAGTCAGAAAAATTGGTCCACATATGATCAAGAATTATTGGCCATATATTTGGTAATTAATAAATTCAGATATATGCTCTAAGGTAGAGTTTTTACGATCTACACAGATCAAAAACCTCTGACTTATGCCATCAGTCAAAAACCGGAAAAGTGTTCTCTGAGGCAATTTCCTCATCTCGACTTCATTAGCAAATTTTCCGCTGATATAGGCCATATTAAAGGCTCTGATAACATTGGAGCTGATGCTTTATAAAGAATAGAAATAGACACTATTTCATTAGAATGTCTTGATTTTAAAGCCATATTAGAAGAGCAACTTAAAAATACAGTACTTCAGAATTTTCTTTCCCATTCACCACCAACTTAAACACATTATTTTCCTTTAGAAGATGTAACACTTAAAAACGGCAAACAACCTTCTACAATAATATATAAATTTAAGACATATCTACTGGTGCTCATGACAGTCATACAAGTGCAGCATTTTTTTCTCCACAAAATTATCCATTCATTTAAGTAATGATGGAAAAATCTGATTTAAAAAATGATAAAAAGATAAAAATGGAAAGATCATCAAAGATAAAAATGGAAAAATCTGATTTAAAATAAAATAATTTTGCACAGTATATCCAAAAAAATTTTTTTGTTGGGGAAACCTTTCTTTTTAAATACTTCTTATCTACCTTTGACTATGAAATCTTAGCTCTAGATTAGTACCAAGAGTTGTGTCACTGGGAAGACAGCTTTGACTGGAATGAGATTGAAGTACAGCACAGGTTGATAAGTCGCTTTTATTTAAAAACACAACTAAATTAGCTATGTTAAATTTAATAATTGTACTTCATTTGCCTAACAAAAAATTTCTAATAACAATAATTCAATACAATTTCAAATTGTAGGTACAGCATTTTGCTTGGTATAGCAAAATAGTGAAATGGTTTAAAATAAATCAATTAAGAATTCAGTAAATAATAAATGCTCAACAAAAATAATAGTGAATTAAGAAAATTTAAAATTACCCTTTTCCAGTCATTTGCAGTTTGAGCTTTCAATAGATCAGCGGGAATCATTTCTCTCAGCATATTTCTAAAACGAAGTATATCTTTATAAAGCACCAAATGAAATGTTAATAAACGATGATTTGACAATATAATTCAAATAAAAGATCTAATAAAATTAATATGCTACTGTGAGAGTTATATGTTTTTGGGAATTCCAATTCAGTAAAATATTATCAGCTAGCATAATCGCAGTGTTAAAAATGATGGATATTTTTCACACTACAATTGCACAGATGAGATATTTTTTTACAAATTCACTGCACACAACAGATTAAGGGATTGAATGTAGATTTCAATGCTATAAGAGCCCGAATTGGATAGAAAGCATCAAATTCCAACAGTTTCATATTCTTAATGTTATGAAGCCAAACAGGGTTTTAAACTAATAAATAAAATAAGGAAATATCACTGCGGTCTCCTTAAGTTATGGGACCCATAATTACATGAAAAAGGTAAATCTCCTGAGAGGTATTAAAAAAAAGTTTAATAATGCTTTATTAAATATTTCAGAAAGTTTTTGGATTTTACCAATTTGAACTAGCTTATAAAAGGGAAAATGCCTTTTAAATAAAATTAACCAGAAACTCACAGTTAGAGCAAAAATTTTGCCAAAATAGTTATTCCCAGATGACAAATTGAACATAGTATTAAATTCAACAGAAAGACAAATAAAACACTAAATGAACATTGTCATGTCATCTTACGGTATGCCTTGAAGTTCAACTTTGCTTTCTCCATATCGCACTCTGTAAATAAGAGCAGCTAATCTAGCAGCTTCTTCTTTACTACACTTATGATAACCTCTTAATAATTTTGGCAATTCCTAAATAATGTAAAAATAATAGTCACAATTTTGTCACAATTAATAGTCACAACATTGTTTAATTTCAAAATAATAGATGCATATAAAACATTTATATTACCTGATGGTAATGAAATATGATATCAGCATTCCTATCTTTGCCAGGAACAGTGTTTGTCCACAGCTTTTTCATAAAGAACACTTGATAAGTAAATTGTGGTATCGAACCTTTAAAAGAAAATGTTATAATTTTATTACTGGTTTAAATAATAATTTAAACCTTGTTTATTAAGTATCTCTGGCTTAAACCCTTAGCAAAACTATAATTGGTGATCCTTACAGAAACTTAAGAAAAAATTTAAGCAGCAAATTAAGAGCAATTTTAAACATTTTATTATAAGACAAACAATAAATATGCATTTGTCAATAAAGGAAAGAATTTATAACTTACAATAATCTCAAAAGTGCTTATGTCTAACTAAAGAAGAGGGAAATAAACCACTCTAAATAACTTTCAGTTTTGTCTTTGCTATTTTATAAGCTTAATTCTAATACAGACTTGTGACATCATGATCAATAAATAAAACAAATTAACATGCCTAAAAATTTAATAGATATATATATATATATTAATTAATAATACAATTTATTCAATGGTAAAGGGAAGGGATAATATTGGTTAAGATGATAGGACAAGATAATTTCAAAGAATATGTTCAGTCTCATAAACTGCTTCTGCTTCACATTTTATTTTAAATCAATATTATGTATATCTTTTAATATTATTAATATGGAAGAGCCAAAATCATACCATCTCTAGTAGGTCTAGCTTTCCTTATCCAATCCGTTAAATGTCGAACAAAATCAAAAAAGAAATCTCCCTCCGGCACACTAATAACTAGATGAAAGTAATTTCATTGAGTTTATGCTTTAAAAAATTAAACAATACTTAAAATTTATTTATTTATTTTTTAAAAAAAAGACACCTCTTTTTACCTTTGTCTGCTATTTTGACAAATAGACTAAAGCCTTCTGCAGATCTTAAATTCAAACGTTGAGATATGTTTTGGCAAAAATCTTTTGCTCGAGTACTGGAATCAACTTCAAAAGCCTAAAATGATAATTATTTCATAAATATTTTGAAATATCTATTAATTAATACGTTAACAAGTCTTGAATAATAAAATTTTACAGCTGAGTTTACAAATTGTCAAATCATAATAGTAAGAAACTCATTTTAATCTCATATTCTATTTTTAATTTGTCTTCCTCTTTAAAAAGTACAAAAAAATACACAATAATTTTTCAGAACTGTAAATATATGAAGGATTAAGTCTTTTCAAAATAGTTTACACCCATGATTTTATACATAAAAACCTACCAAATGATTTTAGTTCAAAAACTAATAACTACTTAAGATTTTTTTAAAGTTATAGTTCAGGAATTTTAACTCTTAATAGTATATTTTGCTTCTAGAATATACTTATGCAATTCAAAAATTATAGCTTAAAAATCATGTCAATTGCTTATGAATTTCTACACAAAAAATAAATGTACAACATAGTGCAATGCTTTCATATGAAGCTATATGATACATAAAAAAGTTAAACATACAAAATAAAAAAGCCAACAAATTTTTGAGCTAAAATATTTTTTTACATCGTAAAACTTTTTACACAACATTACCTCATCAGTATCATCAGGAAAGTAAACTTTGTGAAATATTTGAGTGGTTTTATGTTGAATTGCTTCTACTTCCACCAAATGAGGGGGATATTTTCTTTGACCAGTCCTTCAAAGAGAATTAATATATCAGCAAATATATGTATTAAACATAAAAACCTTAATCAAATCAACTAATAATATCAGTGTACACTTGTTAATATAATGGATAATTCAGGTTTAATTTAGAAAAGAAACATAACCAGACTTAAAATTTTTATTTCATCGATGAATAAGATGGCATTTAATGATTTAAGTTTCTAATAAACTAAGGAAAAATACATAATTAGTCAATAGAATGATATAACATTAGCATTTTGAACAATTAGTCATTAAAGACATAAGTTTAACTATGTGTAATTAAAATATCATTTCAACAACATGATTTCATATATTTATTATGTAATTAAGATATCATTTCAACTAATTTTAGCAAACATTTTAATTTAACTAAAATATATGTTATGAAAATAAAACAGACACAGTATGAATTAGATACCTAAGAGTCTTTTGAAGACGTTGTAAGGAATCAACAGCAATTGGATGTCTTCTTGTTCTCAAGAAGGAAGTTAACTCTTTCAGAAGTATTTGGCTAGGTGCAAATAAACCAGTTGCAAGCCACATAAGTTCCCATCCTCTTTCCTCACTTAACCTTGAAAGTTATATATAATGTAAGATACAATTTCTAACAGCATTATTCATATAAAGGAATAAATAAAGAAAACTACCTATTTTTGTTATCAGTTAGTTGTTTCATAATTTGGCAGTATATTTCATCTCTCAAAATTTCCTAAAATAAAATAATTTTGTTGTTAAATTGATTTTGATAACAAATAAGACTGAATGAACAAAAACAAATAAAGACCATAAAATACAAACATTTAGAATTTTGGCTAGCAATATGACAAGAATTAAAAACAAAACTCACATGCTTTAAAGGTCCATCATATATTTGATCTGTTAATTCATTTCCAGTTCTTGTCCGCCTGGAGGGCAGATCACCCATATATTTTAATAATGGTAAAACATGTTAAGGTAATAATGTATCTAAATGAGGATAGGATATGCTTTATGATATGCCAGAATAAAGCATAAAAATAGGAAAGAATAAAGCATAAAAATAGACATATTATAGTTTGAGTTTTATAAACAAGAACTTTATTTAGTATCTCAATGAGGAAGATTCTTGTTTAGAAAACCAAATCTAAGGTATATCCATTTTTCCGCTTAATTCAAATTGGTTAGCTTTATTTGAAATAATGCATATTTTTAACTAGATTAAAAAAATAAAATATACATAAATAATAATGAATTTTACTTAAAACTTATTTAAAAATAAAGCAACATTTAAAGGATATCATTAAATGCAAAACAGGCTTCTTGACAAAGCTCTTCTTTATTAAGTAGTTTTTTCAGTAAAGGTTGTTTAATAGGTTCTCTTGAATGACGCCATAGTTGGTCATTATCCCTTTTTCTCGCAGATGATAATGTTAATGTTCTTGGAATCGTTCTCTTTGGTGGAAGCCTGCAAATACAGAGAAAAAATTGTGATAAAAATTAAACTGAATTTATCAATGGGTATGATGTGAATATAATGTAACAAAAGTAGTTGCTCAAAGATTCAAGTTTAAAATTGTGGATTTATATTACAATATATAACAAAATACATTAAATATTTGAAAGCATATCTAGCGTATGTGTGACAATTACTCAAATGTATAATTGAATAAATTAGTAATTGGCATCACAGCATTCAAAAAGGAGTCAGTCAAAATAGGTAATTTTAATAACTAATAGTACTTGTTGGTATTAAAAAAATGTGAATTAAAGAGCTATCGCTCTAATTTTGGGTAATTGTTTTGTATATAATAGCCAAACTTTTTTTTTATCTAGTGATGAAAACTCGTTTTGTCTGAGTTAAGAAAGATATGTCATTTGAATATTTTGTTGCCTCCTTGACAATTTTTTGACAGTCTTAAGAATATCAATGATATTTTATTAATGCAAACATATTATACAGCTCAATAACATTTTAGGAGATAATTTGTATTCGCATTGTAATATTATATGGAATAAGATATCACTCAAACATAAGTCTTATAAATTGATTAATGGAAATTTAAATTTTAACTGTTAAATCATTGGCTTCTAAAATAACTGATATCTGAATTATTTTGTTCATGGAGAATTTTGGTATTCATACAGCGTACATACTAAATCTGTAAAAAGTAACTCTTCTCTTCCTTCAGTCGTAGTTCTTTTACATACAGCAAAATAATTAACAACATTTGAAAGATATAGTGATAATAATAAAAATCACAAAACTATAAACAATATCAATAGTAGGAAAAAGTAAGGAAATAAGTTAACCATAGGTATTCATAAAACTGTTTTGAATTGCCCTAAAAATACCAAGATAGCTCAAAGTTTTTAAGCTAGTAGTTTAATTTTCATTGAAGTATTAGCAATTTTCATTTTCCTGTATTTCTCAGGCTTATAAAATCTGCAACAGTAGTGGTAGCACTATACCAGAGTAACGCTTGAGGGAAATAATTTTTTTCGAATAATTCCTCAAATTGTGAGGAGTTACTTCCTACATGCCAATGTATGCATACCCTTTATACATTAAATGCACATTAATTTTTTAGTGCATTTAATCAAACCATTAATTAGTATATGATCATTTGTACCAAATCTTACAAAAATGACTGATGGATTTTGAAAATCAATAAAAAAGGTATTATACTTGAAAAAACAAGGAAATTTCACCCGATTAAATTGCACACGATTAATTGCACCCGATAAAATTCCCATGTTTCTCTCGCATAATGCCACAAAAATTATATTTTTATCATGGTCCGTAAAATCCATCAGTCATTTTTGGGACACCTGGTTTATGCTAATCATTTAATAGCAGAGTCATTTACATTTAAATTCTTGGAAGCTATACAAACCAACAGCAAAAAACAAAATGTTTTTGTAACTAGTAACAAACTAGTTTTGATTGTTAATAATATATTGACACCTAAAACTCACCTAAAGTGGTCAATTGAATATTCTTCAAGAGTATGAGGTTTATCAACAGGCTCTGGTCCATTTTTGGGTCCGTGAATGAAGAGCCTTTTACCTTGTTCATTTCCATCGTGCGAAAATAGAGCTAATATATTATTTGGAGGTTTCACAAGAGCAGGCAAAACATAAACAAACTCAGACGGAAAATCTCCTCTTTCGTTAGATCTTTCATTTCTTCCAGCAGCCCAGTTATTAGCAGCCACACTTTCTCCAGTGTGAGAATCATCAAGTAAAATAAGGTCCCCTTGAGTGAAACTAAGAAATGATGGATTATCACCTGAAAAAATTTTAAACAAAAGAAAATTATTTTCATACAAAACATATTTATTTATATTAAATTTGAAAATTAAATAGATCCTTCATTCATAGACAAGTAAAGTAAAAGCACTGTATTAAAATATCACACATTAAAAACTCTTATTTTTTTAAAAAAAAATATCCTTTTAAAATTAACTCTTTAACAGTATAACCTGAGCAAAGAGCTGAAGAAACTGAAGCATCATCACGATAAAAATTAAAAATTTATTAACAGCCATAATTTTTGATTAAAAAAAAAAATTCACCAAAAGTCGAAACACTGCTCTTTTTTTTTCTTTTGCAAAGGTCAATAACTTGTACAGAATGAGGGGGTCAAACTATCTTATTGTCAGCCAATTTTCTTCTAAATTCCACATAATTAAATTAAATAAATGTTCAAGACTACTTAAACATAGAACTTGAAATTCTAAACCAAGTTGAATATTACAAAACATGTTGAAAACAAGCGAATATTATCATGCAAGTCTCAAATAATCACACACAATTAAACAAACAAAAAGATAATTAAGCTATTTAATTTTATTGAAGACAATACAATGAATATTTGTTATGATTGTATAACTTTGTTAGATGAAAACAGTGTAAAATAAGTTGCATAGTTCACAGTAAATTGCTAATTTTAAGGAAATTCTTACATACTTAATAATAGATTTATATTCCTTTATTAGTATTTCGTGAAGAGTAAATCCTTTTTACACTGATAAGTAGTTATAACTATCACAATATTTTGAATGCAAAATATCACAATTTTACATGCACATAAGTTTTTTTATCTGCTTTTAGAGATTACAGATATTCTTCAGGTTGTATGAAAATCATGTAGCAGAAAATATTTAAAACATTTGGAAATAAGTGGTTTGTAGGAATAAATATTATATACTTCTAGCATATATATTTCTAAATTTACTTCTCTGTATAACATACTCATATTTGTTCAACACAATATATGTAAACAGTTCACAAATATAGTTACTTATAAAGAAATAACAGTAAAATATGACATCTATATGACATTTAATTTCAAAGCACCAGGAGTAATCTGACTTAAAGAGTATATTTAAACAATGTAACCTATAATGGAAAAAACTTAATTCATAACAATACCTTTATAATCTTGGAGAGCAATGACATATCTAGCTCGTTTTTTCAAGCCTTCTAGAAAGAACTCTACAAGTTCTCTGATGTCATCAGAATTAGGTGATTGAAATGTAAATTCTTCCCCTCTAACAGTACTGATACAAAAACTTTGAAGAAAAGGCCTGGTACCCCTAAAAAGAGATAAATTATGGTAATTTACAATTGAATTAATAATTAATGTGTGGTTAGTTATAAATGTAAAAAAAGAATAATTTTTACCAATTTATATTTCTCAATAAATGAGGGTATATTATAACTTTCATTCAATTCATGGGCATATACTATCAGATAACAGTAGATAAAGTAAAACATAATGCAGTAAAAAGGTATTTCAAATAAATATATGGTAATTATGTACCTCTGACTTATAATGGAGGTAATTTCTGGAAATGAAAGCTCCAATAGTACTTGTTCTTGATCATCAACAACATAAACTCCAGTCCAATTAATGGCTAAAATTACATCATTTTTCGGTAAATGAGGTCCAGCAGATCTCAAAGCTTCATAAAAACGTGAAAATAGAAGGGGCCATTTAAATTTTGCATAATCAACTACATCTTCTTTGACTCTAGGAATAGGAACTCTGTCACGATAATAATAACTCTATAATAAAACAAGAAGCATAAGTAAAATATAATTGGAAAATTTTTAAATGATGAATAAAAACTATTATTAAACATTCAATATAGAGTGGAGAGTCGCGTATCCGGAATCGGTGGGACTACCGGAAGTCCGTATATTAGATTTTCCGTATAATAGACCCCTAAGGTAAACAAAGCTTAAAACGATCTAATAAACGACCTGAATCCAAGAAGAAGAAAAAATAAACATTATTTTTCAGCAGTAATGTTTTAATATTAGAATGATATCCAATCAATCAAAAACAAAATATTAGAAAAAAATTATTATTGCTTAAAATAAAGAAAACGAAATTTTTTTTTGACAGTTATGAAAATATTAGTTGCTCTCTCCGCTAATTTGAACTAGAACGATTCAAGCAAGAAGGGGAAATTCCCTTCATTCATTACAGTGGGTAGGTAGAGGAGAAAAATTTACTTCCTCCTTATTTGTTATTCAAGTTGAGGGCGGGGAAGTGACAAATTCTTATTTTCTCTCCCATATTTGGCTATCAATCAAGCATAAAGGCACGGCATGCTGATTGGATTTTCTTTATTTTTTCTTGTGTGACTGAAAGTGACTCCCCCTTCACATTACGTTTTCTGCACAGTATTTCTTCTTTCCCTAACACTCTAATAAAAAGGTTCTAGGAATTGCCTCGTTTACTAGCCAGCTGCATAGGAAAGAAGGGGGGAGGGGACTCAGTTGTGCTCTTTTGAAAATAAATCTCCCTCCTTTCCTGCATTCACTAACAGTCATGTGATGGCCTCGGTAGATCTTCTTTTCCCCTTTCTGTTCATTTATGCATACCTGCCAACTTTTACGCATTTGGCGTAAAATTTTATTTTTATATTTAAAGTGGTAGTAAATCTATACTATTTTTTCTTTTATAAACTTATTTTTTAAATGATTTTGATCACCACTATTCTTAAAAAAAATTAAGCATATACATAATAAGTGTTACTATCATGGTTGTCAGCTAAAGACTTTTTACATACAGCGTATTTCTTTGCTTATAATTGAAATTTGAATTCCATTTTACTACCACAGGGAAAAATCATAAAGGAAGAAACCAAAAGTTGGCAGGTATGTTTATGGGTTCAATGCATAAATCACTAGAAGCTAGAAAAGAAAAAACGTGTCAAAAGGCCTATTTTTTTAAAGAGAGGGGAAGATGAAGAGATATGTTTATTTTGCTTGTTAAAAAGTGTCCGGGAAATCAACCCTTCCGGAAAAGGGACACCCGGATATGGGACGTTACTCTATATTTGTTTATGGATGCAGGTGAAAGTTTTAAGAAGAATTATTTAAAAACTAAAATGTTTCAGAAATATTTATGAAATGAGTAAATTGAATAAATTTTTAATTTGAACTACAGATTAATACATTTAGTTGCAGGAAATTTAAATAAGAGCAATCAAATAATTAAATTGAATTTATGGAAACTAAGAAATAATACAGTTTCCATGGCTTAAAAATAAATAAAATGTGCATAAAATAAGGAAACAAGCTCTTGTTCCATACGATATCTACGCAAACCGAGTGTGTCAAAGAGTGATTTCTAGGATCCGCGATTTGAACTCCATGTGCCGTAAGAATATCAATATATTTATATTAAAAAAAAACAAGAGAATATTAATAATAACTAAGCTGTAAAAAACATATAAATTTCAAAAAAACCAAAAAAGAAAGTAAAAATTCATAACAATGCAATAATTGTCAAAAAGAATGATCAAAATACTATAAATATTTATGACGGAATCAGCGAGAGTTGTGATTGATGATAAAGTGAAGTTTCAAACGCGTGATTTAGAATTTTCATGTGTGAAATATATTGGATGTATTTTATTTAAACTAAATAAAAAAATAAAAGGGACAAATGTACTGCTTTGATAAATTGGTTTGCTCATACTCAATCATATTTTATTAATATGATGTTTTAAAAAAATGATGGAAAGAATATGATTTCTAGAACAAACTATCCACAAAACTTTTGCTATTTCGGATTTTTGTTATTATTTATTTGAAATTCTACTGAATTCATTATCAATTTCTTTTTCTGAAGAGGGAACAGAAAAATCGTGAGCATTTCTATCACATCCGATGCAGAAGAAAGGCATCTTTTGAATATAATTCTGCAGAAAAAAAATTCTTCAAAAATTTATGAAGAAAAGCAAACGAAATTTTTTTATTTCGCAAAGAAAAATCTTTCTGCAAAAACCATGTAACATTCTGCACAAACCATGTAATATCGCTGCAAATCTGCCACGAGTTCTATTATTACATTCTCACCAACTATTTTTCATCAACATTCTTAATTCTTCAGATTAATATTATTGACCCTAAAATATAAAGATAGATCCTAGCAAAAGATAAAAAGAGGAAGGATGGTAATGAAATTTGGGAGAATTAATTCAACGAAATAAAATTTTCAAGCTCAAGGAGTAAAAAAAAAAAAATCACTAGATGGATTGCCTCATTACATCATTTTCTGCTATGAATTTTTTAGATAATAACATCATGAATTTACAAAAGTAATCTTTTAATTTTAATTTATTACAATAAATTCACAGTTTTTGAATTTTATTTACAAATTCAATTATAAAAGAAAGCGTTTAAAAATTGAACAAAACTATTTAACTTATTAAATATTGTTTGAAATTTCTTTGAAATTATGTAAATAAAGCTGCTGAATAACAAAACAAATAGCAGTTTATTAACATTTCCAAAAATTTGGAACATTTCATTCTTTAAAATGCCCTTTCAAGAGCCTCTCTGGGTCTCACACTCCCAGTTTGATCTTTATTTTACAAAAAACTTCTTATTTTAAAAATCATTTACAAGAAAAGTTTTCACTTTTATAATGAATGATGCAATTGGAACTTATAATATTAGAAATAAATAAAAACTAGAATTTTAAAGATAAAATAATATTGCATATGCAAACATTAAAAATTTTTTATATTGTAATTAAATTTACATTGGTAAAATTAGGCTACTCATTAAATCAATGATTTTATTATATCAAAAAAAGTTTATATTTTTTTTGTTATACGATTCTTTTTTATGATTATGTACAATTTAGAAATATTTACGTACCTTTTTACAGGCAGTGATTACCAAACCAGCCCACCTTTCTAAGCTTTTATCACCACTTTGTAAGCAATAATCAGGAATATAATTAGGCAAAAGAGATAGTAATCTATCCATGCTTAAGTCAAGACCATGTTCAATATAATATTGTTGTGCTGCAATCATAGCTAAATCTTCTTCCTGTAAAATTATAAAAATGATTAAATTAAAAAAATACTAAAAATGAAACTTTTGCATTCATATAATAATAATTTTTATAAGTCAAAATATTATTATTATTATTATCAAGAAGGACCAGATATTTAATCTCAATCAAAAATAAATAGCTTGTTTGACGATTAATTATTAAAATTGGGAAAAATTTATAACTTACAAAAAATTAATGGATATTCACCATAATTTATATCAATTAAATGATAAATATTTTGTAATATATAAAGTACATACAAGTAATAATTGGAAAAAGATATTAACACCATACCTTATCACACCTGTATTCACCAAATTTCACACCCCTAACAACTTGCTGAAATATAAGATTTGTAGCAACAGCATCTTCAGTTGGATCATGCCAGGGAGCAAAGATTTCTTTACGGAAAAACAATCTCCAAGGAGCATTTCTTTCTTGAGCACCCTGTTCTTTGGCATATTGCTCACACTGAGATATTGCATCCATAACATGCTCACCTCCACTTCCTAAAGATGAAACCTACAAATAAAAATTGTAAGACATAAGTAAACAAGAAAACAAATTAAGATTCAGTAATTAATTACATTAAGAAATGTCACTAAATGAGTCATAAAATATTTTGCTTATTTTCTAAATATGTGTATATTCTTTTAAAAGGTAGACACTTCCATTTAGTGCTTATTTTTTCTGTATATTTAAAAATGCATCAAAAATTTTTCAAAATTATCTTGATGTAATTGGATATGAAGTTAACTCCTAGTTGTATACATCAATATTGAGATAAAAAAGTATTTATACTGAAAAGAAACTTTCCCCAATAACCATTAGTTACTATTCCTGCATAGAATTTCAGAGTTTTTATTATAATCTGGATTTTCGTAGCTTTTTATTAGGGAAATTTTTAAATTAAAATAATTGCAACTAATTTTGTGGCAAAGCAGAAGTACAGTATGACCTAGAAAATCAGGATTTCTAAAATCTGGAAACTTCTAAAAACTGGACTCATTAAAAGAAAAAAAATTTCCTAAATCGATTTAAAAAATAAAAAAACTTCAGTTCTTAATGAAAAAGGGTTCACATCCCTATCATAATTTTTGGATAAATTTTCAGCCATTTCCACATAGTTTTTTTTCTTTGAAGCCTTATGTTATTACTACATGTGAATTTCTATTTCGAATAATCTTTCAGGACACCCTCAATCGCAATAGTTCTAGCATAAATTCACCTAATTTGAAGATGGTTCACTGGTTATTTGTCATTTTTTATTCATATCCACATGGTTTTTTTATCTAATTCTGATATTTTTAATATGATGTTATTACTATATGTGAATTTGATTTAAGTTATCACTTTTTGATGGGCTCGGTTTACAACGATTCCCTCACACATTCACTTTGTTCTTAGATTGGATTTTTTCAGCAGTTATTTTGTTTCTACTTTCCCCCCAGTTTTTCGAATGTATATGTTTTTAATACTATATTACACATGTTTAGAATATCAAGGTATCACGCTTAACCATTTGGTTTATCACGATTAGGTCGAATTCATGTCATTTTCTAATCAGTTTTCCTCCGTCATTCATCGTTTTCCCCCCACCATTTTCACATGATTTTTCAAAATAATAAATAATTAATACAACACGCAAAGCTCAAGTTTGAGTAATCTTTCTTAACCTGCTTAACTCAGGATGATTGTATCCTAAATCCTTTTTGCTGGCTAATCCTATGTTCACTGGTTATTTATCATTTTACAGCCATTTCCATGAAGTTTTGACATGCTTGGTTTGCAGCAATTTAGTTTTTTTTAAAATCTTTTTCTTTCTTTATTTCACAGTTATTACCATTTTTTTGGCCATCATTTTCTGATCATTTTTTCATTGTTAATTAGTGTTTTTTAATTGTCATTTTCACATGATTTTTCAAATTATAGAATAGTCGGAAGGGCGCAGGGTCCATGTCCGAGAGTCCGTGGGTTTGAACCCTGCCAACCGAAGACTCCCCGTGTAGTAAAGTGACTGATGCACGTTAAATCTGGCAAGTCGCAAAAAGTCCACCATGTTCTCATAACAAATCGATACCTCTGGGGTACTGGATTGGAGATCGATCGTTCTCTGATTCAGGTCAAAATTACGATCTGTGGATGAATGAATGTATGTATGAATGGGTCAGCCCTATAAAAGGGTGCGACGTATGGTGTGGCAGAAGTCGAATTCTTGGCTATAGATGGCGCCACCAGAAAACAAGAGCAATCGCACCCCGTCTGCATAAACAAGTATATGTCAACAACAACATACCTGTAATCTGGAAACTTCGGAGATCCGACACTCTCAAACCTCTGACCATTACAGATTTTCGAGGACATACTGTATAATCTACAAAATTAGTCTCATATATATAAAACTGTAAAACTTAAAGAAAGAAGATTCCAAGTGACATTCTTTAGTTTTAAATAATTACTGTTCAGTTGTACCTACAAACCTTAATTTTTTTCTCTGTTGGGGCATTAACTAAGAGTTTTTAATGGAAAAATATAATTATTAAACAGCTTCTTAGTGTTTTGTAAATTGCTTAAAGCTAAAGTTCACCAAAATGTCTATTACACTAAGCACTTCAATTGAACTAGTATTAACTTTATAACCTATGATATCTTTTTTATTTACAATATCTATTTTCAATGATAGGAGTGTGGTCTAAAATAGCTAGTTTAATTTTAAATTAATTAACATCTTACTTTATCAAATAAAGCTATGTATAAAGAAAATCCAAATTGATCTGTTAGACCAATTTTTTCAGCTAATTGTGCACAAAGTTCTCTAGCAGTAGTTGCAGAATCAGCTAATAAAGTCTTTGTATTTCCATCCATAAATGTTATTGGTAACATAAGTGGTTTTTTGGATTTAGTTGCTTGCAACTCCAACCATGATGGAGGCTGTCCTCTAGTACCATTCATAAAAGTTCTTCGCAAACGATCTTCACAGTATGGAGCATAACCTGGAGGTCCTTCTCGAATGAAATTCAGTAAATATTTCACAAACTATTGAAAAGAAAAGAAAAGAAAAGAAAGAAATTTAGTAAATGAAAGTGTACAATTTTTGATTTTGCTGGAAAAATAGAGAGGTAATAAAATTAATGTTAACACAGGTTTCACTTTTGTTTAAAAAAGCATAATTTACAAGTAAATCAAGTTGATCAATTAAATATGATGTAACTATAATTATTTAGATATTAATAATTTAAAGTACCTTGTCAGATGGAGCAAAACATCCAACACACAGTGAAAGTAGTATCCAACCACGTGCATGAGAGCTTTTATTAGGATTATTGGTAAGTTGTTTACAGATATGGCAATAAATTTCATCTCTGTAATTTAAAAAATTATTTTTAATACGACAATAAATAAAAAGAAATATTTAAATTGTATTTAACATTACTGTTTCCAAAGAAAACAATTCCAACACTTATAAAAGAATTTTTAAAATGAAAGAGAAAACTAAAGCAGTACCTTAGTTCATCACGCAAGATACCATGACCAATTATAAAATGGAGCTTTTCAAGATTTGAAGTAGGGCGGCTTTCGAGCCAACTACTGTATGTATCTGCAGCTAATTCTTCATCCTGCAGCTGGCGTCGTACATCTTCTGTTATTTTGTTTTTCTTTTTCAGGGTGAGAGAGACTAATTTATTTCTAATACTGCGGGATTTTTGCTTATTGTATTCTGTAGGTATAATAGACTGAAAAGTTATAAAAATTAATAATACAAAAAAACAGAAATGTAACATAAAACTTAAGTTAAAAGTTTACTTACAGCATCCATTCCCATTAATTGAGCTTCTTGAAATTCTTTGGTTTTAATGAAATTACGTCCAAGAGTTGCTGTGACTTTACTCATTACAGACGTGTTGTCCTGTACATAAAAAACTCAGCATCAATATTAAATGGTCATTTGGCAATTGATCAGTTAGAAACAAACAATTTGAGAAATAAAATAATCAGTCATTTTGAGAGATGTACAGCATCTTTTGTTTTACTTCAACTATGGTTTAAGTATGCTGAAACATTCTGTTTGATAACAATATTTAAAAAAAAACATACATACCCTTTCCATTGTATGAAATTTAGGTTCGGGTAAATCCCCCATAAAACGAAGAATTGTAATCCACAAAGCTAATGCAGCCTGAAAAAGAATAAATATAATTATAAGAGTTAAATTGCTAAAAGATAAAATTAAAACAATTTTGATAAAAAGGATTGCTCTAAAAGTAGTTCTAAGAAATGAGTATACATATTATTAGGATTATTAGTAAAAACTAATAAAAGAAGTATAAGCAAATAACTGCAATAGTTAAATGTTTAGTTTTTAAAATATTAATCTTAACCTCTCTTATCTACAATAAATATTTTCATTGAAAATGATTGCAATAGCAATAAGTGAACTTAGGACTTTGATAAAAAAGATAATGTTCTTGCACACTCTCATATTTTTAAATTATCAGTGCGTTTTAAACAAACTGATTTTAAATTTATAAATTTCTTGTAAACTATTTATGAAAAATAAAGTTGTGGAGGTTAAAAAATAATTTGCACTCATAACAATTACACCAAAAATACTATTTTTCTTCTATAGCTTATCCATCCAGCAAATATGCATTTTATTATCAAATAAACATTTTGTTGCATAGAGGAATAGATAATATTATTTTTGTTGATTACTTTCCACTATGAAATGCATCAAAACTAAGTGCTAAGGGTTAAAACTAAAGAACTAAGTATTCAAATTACAATTCAATGTTCCAAAAGTATACTATTTAAATTAAAAAGGCAATTATATATTTCTCATACAGTTGAAAGTTTCAATATTTTATAAGAAAAAAAAATAATACTTGCCATACAATCTCCCTGTGTTGATAATTGCAAAAGAGGTTGCTTTAAAGGCTTCTTTTGATATTGATGGCTAGCATTTCCTTGGAAATATGTTACAGCATATTTTTGGAATTTATATTCAGATAAGTCTTCTTGATCTATAGGTGGAGCAGGTACAGAGCCTTCAGCTTCAGATGAAATTTCAAGAGCAGCTTCTCGAGACTTTTCTAAATCCTATTTATTAAAAATAGAAATTAGAAATGTAAACTATACAATCTTTATAAATCAAAAATGCAAAAGTAAATATAGTATATTGGCAATTTAAAAAATTTATTTTGCAATTTACGTTTGAAATTTAAATGAAAACAAAACTATAACAACTTGTTAAATTTAAAGAAATAATATTGTAACTTGTACTTACATAATGTGTTGTTCTCACATTATATAAGCATAATACATCCATATTATGCTCACATAATGGGAAAACAAACTTTGTTTAAGTTTTTAACAAAAAATTTCTTTTTTAAAACATAATATGTTTCAATTATGAAAGCCTCTAAAGTTACATTAAGGCAACAAGTGTGACAATTTAAATCAAATATCATACAGTAAGAAGAATAAAANTTTTTATTTCATTATTATGCAGACATATTAATTCACTGTCGCCTCTAATCGAAAATTAATTTTCAATTTACAATAATTTTCTTCATAAATACATCCATATTATGCTCACATAATGGGAAAACAAACTTCGTTTAAGTTTTTAACAAAAAATTTCTTCTTTAGAACATAATATGTTTCAATTATGAAAGCCTCTAAAGTTACATTAAGGCAACAAGTGTGACAATTTAAATCAAATATCATACAGTAAGAAGAATAAAAAAGAAAATCAGTTTAAAACATAGGGAATTTTAAAAAAAAAAAATTAACTTATACTTTCAAGTAAAAAAATATTATTTAGAATTTCTATATGCAACAAGTAAAACAAATGTATTTGACACAAAATACTAAAAATTTCCTAGATCTATAAACTTACTCATTAATTTACACATTTATTACCAGAGATTTGATATGAATGGTGTATTATCATATAGTATAAAATATTCGATAATGCAGTAGGGCATAAATTTATGATTTAAAAAAACATGTGATTCAAATGAATGATTTTTTTACAATTACATATTTTTAAATCATGTCAACCCTGCTTTTTTATTATTTTTTTCACATATTCTGCAGCAGTTCTAAGGGATTGTCCTCCCCCCCCCACACATACTCACAAATTGGCAATAATTGTAATTTTTATTAAAATTAATTTCTATGACATAAATTTTGAAAGTTTACATAAAGTTTCATGCTGTCACTATAAAAATTATATTTCTGATATAAAGGAACATTAACTGAAGTGAAATTAGACACATTTGGAAATATAAATTATAATAAGTCGCATGAATTATACATTCAAGGAATAGTAAAAATATATTCCTGATTTAGTAAATGTAAAGAAAATTTTTTAATCAAACTATTAATTAGTCTTGAATTTTTGGCAGCTCTTAACTGTCACACACTTCACCGCCCCCACTAAGCACGGCCCTGAAAAAGGGTATCTCAGAATTACAAAACCTATATTTATCTACAGAAGGTCAATTTCTCCATGGGGTTATATAGATAGAAATACAATTAATTATTGCTTGCATAAAGATACAACAATTTAATTAATAAAAAAGTATACTATACATGCCATAATTATAGCATAATGTTTAGCAAGGAAGATTAGACAAACAATACAATAAATAAAATGTAAGTATTTCACCTTAATCATAAAATATTTATATTGACTTTTTTTAAGCAAAAACTAATTAGGAAAAAAAGAAATTAGCTTAAAATTACAGAGAAATAAAGAAATAATTACTTTGAAAGCTGTAGGAGCAGTTTGATCACTGTTAGAATCTGTTCTAGGAAGGAAATCAAACATAGCATCAACCTATGAGAAAAAATACTTTGAGTAAATGATAATCCAACTAAGTAGGAAGTATATTCATTTCTAACAAAAATTACATTACTTAAACTTCATGGACAAGTTTGTAATGTGGAATTTTTTTTATCAGTGTCATTTTCCTATTGAATTTTATGTAAAAAAAACTAGTTTATTATGCAAAGAAATACATTTAAAGACAGGAAAAAAAATTAAGGCCAGAATGCTATATGTAATAAATTTTTATTATTGCATGTATTATTATATTATTGAATGTCATATTCATATCTTAATAAATGTTATAATTAGTTTATAATAATTTATTAGATCAGATTTTATTCATTTTTTCAAATTAGTTTACTTATAAATAAAATAAATCCACTATAGAATATAACTTACCAGTTTGGAATCATCTAGTTGTTCTTCCTGACGGTTGAATGCATCAATAATTACAGCTTTCTTGTGTTCAATATTAATTCTTTCGGCAACTTCCTCCTCATGCAATCGAAGCTCCAACTCTTGAAGTCGTTCCTACAATATGCAAATGCATCAAAAATTAAAGAAATTTTTTACAATCAATAAGAAGTTAAGATAGTTTATTTTCATAGGTGGTGTGATACATGCATAACATGGTAAATATTATAGAAAAGAATTGGCAAAATGAAATGATCCATTTTGATTTCATTAGTTTCTTTTGAACTTTTTCCTGACTACGCCACTGCAAGATAGAACAAATTGTAAAACTTGACAAAGAGTGGCAGAAAAGTTCTAAACATATTATTAAAATGTATGTTTTTCATGTTAGTATATTTTTATTTTCGTTAAGGTCTAAATAAAGGATATACATAATCTTAACAAATCAAATTAAAGTTTGAAGGAGAAAATAAAGTTAGCTTGTAACCATGTTAAAAGAATATTAATAAAAGAAATACAGTTTTAATAAAGTTACATTATAAGTTACAAAAAAATGAGGTATCCTTCATAAAAAGATAAAAGATAGTTTTTTTGTTAACTTTTTAAAATTTTAGAATGTTAAATAAAAGAGAGATTAATAAAAGAATAAAAAAATTTATTTTTAAAAGATAATTTTATAAGGTTAGAGAAAGCTAAGGTACTTTTTATCAAAAAATAATTATAAAGCTTAAGCTTATTTTAATATCCTAAACGAATTAAGCAGATACTTCAACATATAATATGAAATATTAAATAAAAGATTAAAACAAGAAATTAAGAGTTTTCACTATTAATTATGAAGAAAGCACAGTGAAAGATTAAGTAATCTATCAATAAAAGAAAAATACCCTATATTTCTGCTCAGCTATTTCTTTTGCCTTCCTAGGATTCATTTGTTTTCTCAGCATAACTTCCTCTTGCTCTCGCATTCTTAATGCTTCTAGGCGATGACGATTCTGAAATAAATAAAAAAATAGAATACCAATTTAATATTTTGCCTTCAAAATAATCTAACATGCAACAAATATTTCAATTTTAAATAATTTAGATAACAAATTATTTATCAACAAATTTTTAGCATTAACTGTTAACAACTAGAATAATTTAAGAATTGCAAGTTTTTGAATATAGCATTCATTTACTATTTTTCCCAGTTTAAACAAATAGTGACGAAAGAAGAAGCCCTTTTCTTTCTAATGAGCACCCAATTATTTATCTCTAACTCAGGTCATGTGAGTAACCCCGTGTTTCCCATTGAATTTATCTAAAGTAAAAAACTTTTCTTTGCTTTCTTGGCAAAATCAAATTACTCTATATTGAAACATCTTCCTGTGCTTTTCTAAATCAGTTGTTCTTGAAAGTAGAAGTGTAACTTATTCATTTGTACCCAAATATTTTTAAACATGATATTAAAACAGCTGAAACAAAATACAGTAGTACGATGCACCAACAGCTTATTTAGCTTTTTCCATCCACTCTGCAACTCTTGCTCTGAGACTAAACAAAACAGTATGCCAGAAATAAAAAGCTATTCCATGTTTTCCCACTTAAAACAAAAATTAAATTCTTCTACAATGATCTTGTGTGATTTCTTTATTTTTATCACCTTGAGCTTTGAAATGATATATGATATCACTAATGCATATAAATCTTGCTTCTTCTTCTATGCTAGAGCTTAGCTTTGAGGCAAAAGGGACATTGATCATCAAGTGGCCAACTTGTTTTACTAAAAGGACAATTTTTCCTTCGCTTGTCTTATAAAAATAAACTTTGAATTTGAGGTTTAATTTGTTGTTAATAAATAATGAACTACACATGATTACTAATTTTCACTTAATTACTAATTACTTTGTAATTTTTTAAAAGAAATGTTTCAGAGAGGGCTTTGGTAAAAAAGATTTCCCTAGATAGTATGCAGCAGTACATGACCCATGGCGATATTTTAAAATTTTTTTATACAACTTTGTAGCTTTTTTGCCAAGAATTACAGTACTGAAACTCATCAGTAAGAGACAATAAATAAAAAAAACATTGCAGATAATTAAAAAAAACAGTTATTTCTCAAAACTTTACCTGTATTTTTAATTTCCTATAGCGACGTTGTGCTATAACACGACGAACAAAAGCTTGAATCTTAGTTATTGCCCACTGCTTTTTCATATGTTCCCTTCTCACTAAGAAACCTCGACATCTGGCCTAAAATATAAAAGTAAATTAATCATAAAATTTTTATTGATAAAAATAATTTAAACAAAAATTAAATTTGAAATATAAATTTAAGGTTCAAAGTTGCGAGAGAGTATTAATCGGAGCAAACCTGTAATGTGACTATATGGCCTCTGAGATGTTTAAATCTATGAGAAAGTATTCTTGATCTAATAAGAGCTTGTAACCTCTGAAACCCAGTTTTCATCTAAAACGAAAAAGTTTTTTTAAGAAATATAATTATCAATACAATATTAATTATTTTTTACATTATTTCTAATAATCATTTGAAAAATACATATTTTTAAACATTATTGACATTCATTGGGATGAACATACGGAAAGTCAATATTAAATGGTATACCACTTTTTAGATAAAAAGTGATAATTCATTGCTTCAAACTCTGTGAGTAAAACAAGCCACTTTTTATAAGAGACATTTATTAATGAAGGATATTTCCAGGTCTCATTTAGTTTCTAAAAGGAGAAAGACATTTAGAATAATCATGACTACAATAAAATATTTATAGTGAAGAAACATATAATTCAAATCCTAAATTCACACATATTTAATAATTAAAAAGATAGCTCAAATGAAAAAAAAATATCACCCATAATTAATCCCACATTAACCCCCACCTTTTTATTTCTTTACAGCTTGTTATTGTCGGAAAATAAAATCGTTTCGAAAACATAATTTCATACCTGCCAACTTTTAATCCCTTCCATTATGATTTTTCCCAGTGGTATTAAAATGGAACAAAAATTTCAATTTTAAGTAAAAAAATATGTTGTATTTGAAAAAGCTTAAGCTGCCTATCATGATAGTAACGCATATTAATATATATGCTTAATTTCTTTAAGAATAGTGGTGATGAAAATCATTTAAAAATTTAGTTTATAAAAGAAAAAAATAGTATATATTTACTACCACTTTAAATATAAAAATAAAATTTTATGCCAGTTGGCAGGTATGTAATTTCATAGAAACAAATATTACTTTTTGGTAATTCGTACAAAAAATACATAAAAATTACAATTTAAAATATAGTTTTGTAATATTGTGCAATGTACTAATCTTAATAGCTGGTAGTAATAAACTACAGCAATCTTATAAGTTATTTTTTACACAAGTCAAAAGCAAAAAGATGAACAATCCATAAACTGGATAATTTGTACACAGATAAATTGATAATATACTGTATATTGGTGCATAAAGCAAAACACAATTTTAATATAGTATTTACACAAGCTCTGTCAGTATATACTTACATAATTGTAATGTTGTTTCTGTATATAACCACGCCAAAATCTCTGCACAATTATTGCACTTTGTCGCATTCTCAAGAAACGTCGGCGATAATACCAGCCACGAATAGCTTTTTGCAGTATTAAAATCTTTCTTGTTAAAACTCTATCTCTTTCTTGTTCCAAAAACAAATCATGAGCATCCTAAAACAAATAATGTTGGTTATAACAACAGTAATTCATTTTAAAACATAACTATATTTATCAAATTAAGGGTTTGTTGTTAAAAGAATTAGCTCCTTCAATATATTATCTCGCATTAACAAAACCAAATCTTCAATTTGATCCCAGAAAGATAAAGCATAGTTTTTGACTTATTATCCGTTTAATAACTGTGAAAAAGTTAGTCAGCTACAGGGTTTAAAGCCAGACCCAGACACGATTTGTCAAGAATAAAACCTTCATACAAAAATTTGTCTGATCTATTTTAATTGCTAATATAATAATATGGTTAAGGTTTCTAAACATTAAAGTAAGTTGGCACAGCAACAATTTCAAAATGAAGTTTTAAAAATGAAAAGATAAAATTTTGCTAGGGAAAAAAATATGCTGCATGGAGTATGTATTATTTTGTTACAAATTAAAGCTCATTTATAAAAGATAATACATAGTCTTTCATTGATCAAAATAATTTTAATGCATCTTATTTGGCCCGGGATAGCCTGGTCGGTAGGGTGCTGGGCCCATATCCAGGAGATTGTGGGTTCGATCCTCGCCGGCCGAAGACTCCCCGTGTAGTAAATGGTGACTGATGCACGTTAAATCTGTCGAGTCTCAAAGTCCTCCATGTTCCCACAACAAATCAATACCTCTGGGGGTACTGATCCAGGAGTTTCCTTGTCTTCTGGATTGGTTCAAAATTACAAGGCTACGGAGTTGAACGTAAGTAGTCGTAAACCCATGAAATTGGGTCGGCTGTTCAACGACGGTTATAAAATAAAATAAAATGCATCTTATTTAATAAAACTAAAGTAATTAAAAAAAGTATTTCTTATTCCAATTTCTCATTTGCAAATTATTTCTCTTATGTTTGTAAGAAAACTTTAAAACTAGAGCTATCCTTTTCTTTGTTGCAACAAACACACCAATCATTTGATATTCATTGAAATTTTATTTTCCAATGGTCTTGACTACAAACCTTAAGGAAAACTTTGGTGCGTCCAAGCTGATAGTCAGTTTTACCCAAAACAATGGCACATATTTTTATACAGGCAGCCTTGCAGTCAGTCTTATGAGCTGGTCCAACACCAGGGATAAGGAATCGATACCTCTCAACAAATTCCTTAAAAGTATGTCTAATAGGATAACCAGCACGTCGAATGCGAATTGTTTCCATCATTCCAGAATATCGCAGTTGCTTACAACATAGCTCTCTATCAAACATCTGAAGAAATATAAGAATTTTAATACAATATTGTGAAATGCTCAAGAACAAAAGTTTACAAACAATACACAATGTTAGCAAAGGGAAGCCTTTAAATATATAAGAAAGAATTTAACTAATACTAAAAGGCTTAAAAGGCTTTTCATCTAGAAAGAAAATCTTCTTAACAACAATATAGTTAAATAGGAAAATAAATGTTATTTGACAACAACTTTTTAGAAATGCTTGGTACCATAAAAAAGTAGCAAAAAAAAGTAGCTTCAACTGTTAAAATGTAAAATTTACAATTCAATACCAAATTACAAGAAAATTAAGCTATAACTACAATAATTATATACACTAAAATTAACAGACAAAATAAAAAGGCAATAGACAATATTATAATACACAAAAATCAAGATGTTCCAATTTATTAATAAAGACAAAGATTCACGTACACAATTCAGTCATAAAAAACATATTTACCATTGGTTTTTTCAATTCATTAGGCTTAATACATCGAATAAAAAATGGGTGACACTGGCTTAGAGTTCGCATCAAAGAGTCTAGAGATTTTTTAAACTGAGCACTAAGAGTTGGAGTTTTCTTTCTTGTATCAGTTCCCTAGGCAACAAAATAAAACTAAAATTTTAAAAAAGGAGAAACAATAAGACAAATATAGCAAAATTATTTCAGTCAGTAATACAGGATTAGTAGTGCTTAAAAATAAAAATCAGGAAAATTTTTTTTTTAAAAAATCAACACATTTTTTGTACAATACATATATTTTAGACTATTAAGGAGAGGAAACGAACGGCAAAAATTTTTTGTACCGCTACTTTTAAAATTTTGTTTTGTGTAGTACATATCTTTCTTTCTACACAATTAAAGAAACATGGGCAATATTCAAATTAAAAAATAAAATTGAAACAAGTTGATCAGAAGTGATTTTAAAAATTAGTAATTAATGGGAATAATTAGTAAAACTTAGTAATTAATGGACGGTTCATAAATTTGAACTAATGTATATTTACGATTTTCAAGAATTATTAAGTTTATCATTATTAAATAAAATATAAAGATATAAGCTTTCCAAAACGAATAAGTTTTAAGGAGCATAAAAATAGTGCAATAAAAAAATAGTGAATAAAATCCCAAGTTTAATGAGTATTTTAACAACTTAATAAAGTAAATAAATAATAATCATTAAAAGGTTTGACTGCACTCTAAAAAAAGAATGCAAAAGACTTTATTACTTCATATTTTTAAATTATACAAGCTTAGGGTGAAAATTAGGAATTCTAATTTGAAACAAAAATCAGGCAAAATCAAAAACATTGAGGAAAAAAACAACTTTTGTCAAACAGACGGGGATTCGTGGAACCATAGCCTCTTTTCTTAAAAAAAAATAAATAGTTAAAAAAAACTTTGTCTGTCTGAAAACGCCTGCAAATGAAATCAAAATAATACACTATATATTGAGTCCTTTAAACAACTTTAATAATCAGAAATCATTTTAGGTTCAAAATATTAGGTAATTTATAACAGACAAACTTACAATATACAAAAAAAAAACTTATCGTAGAAAATAATTCTGTAAAAAGGGTAGGGTTAAGGAAATTTTTGTTCCAATACTGTTTCAATAATTCGTTCTTCTGAGAAAACGATAAAGATAAAGAAGAGGTTCCGTTTTTCATGTTAACTCCTTTTAATTTGAAAGCCGTTTTGAATTTCATATTCTGAATCTAGTTTTTCTTACTTCTTTTATAGTGAAAGAAATTTTCAAAAAGTCCAAGCAATTCCTTTAAAATCACATGTTTGTCAAAATGGTATGCTCAGAACAAAATAAAGAAAAAATTGGAAATACCATGACAGAATGCTAAAAATCAAGAAAAGTAAGGACAGAATATTTTAAATCAGGAATATCAGGAGAGCTATGAACCCTGGTAATGGGCAAATGTTCTTTAAATTCAATGATAAAATCTATGTCTTAAAATAAAATCGCATGCAAAAACTATCAATATTAAACGATAGACTTTTAAACAAAGTAACTATTGAAAAAGCAACAAAAAACAACAGGATTAGCAACATGCAAAAACTGATATTGTCCACAAACATTGATGCAAGCCCAAAAATAAGACTTTTCAAGAACTATTAATGAAAATTACAACAAACGAAAAACTATGCATTGCTATAAAACCATGCAGTAATTTCATTAAAAAAACTATTTTATGTAACATGATTAAATTCATTTTATTTTCTGTTTAAAAGTATTTTTCCCATTTTTAAAGGCACCAGCTTAGGAACACATAAATAAATTAAAAAGTCTAAGTAAGAAATTTGGTATTAATTTACATATTTGAGCATAAAAAATCGTTTAAAATAAAAACAAGTAAAAATTAATCTTCGTTTTTTTTAAAAATTTTATCTATTAACATATGAGTAGCTAAATGTATGTATAAATTACTTCAATCAATTATTAAAATGTATTGAAAATTACTATAAATGATCATTTATATTAACATCATTTTATATCACATTTAGAAAGGCATACCATTCCAATTTCATGCACAAATAAATTTTGCAGAAATTTATTATTTGAAACTTGAATAAGTTGGATCAAATCAGCACTAAATGTATCCCTATTCTTTTCCAAAAATCCTACATAAAATAAAACAAAACCATGCAAAATCAAAATCATACAAAAAAATAATAATAAAATAAAGAATTGATTACAATTCATTACATAAAAATAAGATCAAAATGAAACACATTCAACCTTAAATAATTATAATAGCATTCATACTTTTTAACAAGGTTCCTAAAGTAAAAAATTAACTTGTAAATAGTAATACTGTACAATACTTAATTTGAAAATCACATGCATTTAATATACATGCAATCAAATTGATAAACACCATTTTTACTAAAAACGTAAAATGTAAGCATGCTGCCCGCCAGACCCTTAAAATATGCATGAATGTGTGAACGGGTTTCATTGAAAATTTGTCACCATCGCCAAAAATTCCTAATTATTGCTAAGAAAGAAAAAAATCATATGCCTTTTTAAAATATAATTTGTCTTTTTTGAATATCCGAGGAAATTCAAAGCCAATTTCAAATTACATTCACATGATCTAAACTCACACATCATGATTCCTATTTACGTGGTTTACGATCGCACATCCTGTTTTGCATTGTCACTTTTTTCTTGTTTCATGAAATATTGTTTCAAATTAACTCGATTTAAATGCCGCTTTAATGATTCGTGTTCAAGTGACTTAAAAATGATGCACTGAGATTCCTATTCAGGCAATTTCCAAATCAAACATAGGGATTAGCATTTATGAGATTTTAAAATTAAATGTCGAGATTCGTATTCGCGTGGTTTACAAATCGCACATAAAAATTTATATACACGCAATTTAAATAAATAAAATCTCAAATCGATATTTTTATTAAAACATTGATACCATTCTCTGGATAGATGTTTCTAACATACACTTTTTTATTGAATAAATTTAGGTATTTTTTTAATTATTTAAAAAGTGCTTTCGCACTGAACTTTTTTGGATTTCCATTTTCAGCTTTTTTGGTTTTTATCAAACTTATCCCTGTGGTACGAACTAATATAGTGTTCTATAAAAATTAAACATTTTTTAAAAATCTGTGATTTTGAAACGAATTTCGCCAAAATGAGGTGGAGATAAAAGTAGTTTCAAGAGTTAATCAATGTGTGCAGAAAGTTTTTTAATTGCGATTTTGTGTTCACAGATAGTTTTTCATTTTATATTTCATAGTTTTTCATTCTAAGTCTGTTTTTCCACAAGCAAGAAAATACATATAAAAATATTAATTATTAACACTGCAGTAAAAGAAGAACAAAGAAAGAATTTAACCTCTTGTATCATAAAAAACAACTCCTGCAAAATGATTGAGCCCAAAAGAAGTATTTATGTCAGATTTTGGCTTTAAGTAGTTCTTATTGCTGCCATGCATTTTATGTAACTTGTTTAAAAGAGTTTGATCTGTTCCCTGAAAATAAGATAAAATAAAGTAATATAAAATACTCCTTATTCTTAACAGTATACAATTTTTTTAAAATTAAAATTAAGTTACCTTAGGAAATTTACTTTCTTCATCAATTAAAGCCATAATGTTCATTGGTTTAACTGCAATAAGGTCTAAAGCTTCCTGGTTATCAACAAACTCTATGTGCTGCCAATTAATTGCTTCAAGATTATATTCCTCTTGCTCCAGCTTAAAAATATGCCTCACAAAAAATTGTTGTAGATTTTCATTTGCATAGTTAATGCAAAATTGTTCAAAACTAAAACAGAAAAATATTTAAATTAAACTTAATTACCTAGTTTCATGAAAAATTATATCTTGTATTTTAAAGTTTAACAGGAAAAACTTTGGAGATCAACAAGTTAGTTATTAACAATAAAACAGTATAAAATTGCAGTTAAATACAGAACAATAAATAAACTTACCATATTTTCTAGAATAATAGCTGCATTAGGATTATAAGTATTTATTTTCATCTCTCACATATTTTAGATATCAACAAATGCATAGTTACAATAATCTTTTATTTCATTTACAAAGAATGAAATCTTTATGTGAAAGAAATATGAAGTTTTATTTCTTCAAAATATTCACCAAATTTTTTAGTTGTTTAATATCCAGTAGTATATTTTTATTTCCCTTTTATTCAACATCCTTTCTTCAATAAAAATGATGAATTGTGATAATAAGATAATATGCTACTTTTAAGACTTGTTTTGATTTTTAATCAATATCATTATAGAAAGAATTCTTTTAAGGGGGGAGGGGATTTGCTTTTACTTATGCCTATGAAGTGTGAGAACAACACCTGCTGTTCTTAAGCTTTGTGTCAAGTGCTTATGGTTAGTGGTCTTTGGAACAATAACACTATTGCTTATGAAAGAGAATAAAAGGTGTAAAATGACAAAAATTAAAAATGATTTTGCCAGAAGGGTGCAATTTAGTAAGAAAATTATTTTGCTAACACTGATTCAGCAATTAGTTCTTCTGAGGAAGATAAAGGGGGTTTTGCTTTTTATATGATACAAGCATCGGATTTCACTTTTTGAGTAAAAGTATACTGGTTTTAACATTAATCGATCTAATTTTAAATATTTCATTTTTATTGAAAAAAATAAAAAAAGACAAAATATTCAAATGATTTTTTTTCAGAAGTTGAATGTTTGTTGAAAATGATGCGTTCTGAATACGCATTAATGATAAGCATTAAAAAAATCACGAGTATCAGGAAAAAATATTTTTTATCAGGAAAATCAGAACAACTTTAAACCATAAAAATGTAAGCATGAAATTAAAAAATTATAAATATTTTTAGAAAAAGTTTCAATTAAAAAAAATATTAAAAATGAATTTTTTAAGTTAACACATGTATAAAAATAACAACCTGTTAACAAAGAAATTTTCAAATCCGAATATGTCTAGAACTCCAATAGATGTTCTATAATAGCCAGCTGAGTGCTTCGGTTTGTAAATAGCAGAGTTTATCTTGTTAACGATCCACACAAACATTCTACCATAGATTCCTTTCACAAATGCATCTCTTACATCTACTGACTGGGTAGTACTCATATTGGAAACAACTGCGTCACCATGAGCAAATATTGTTCGTGTAGTTAATGCATCTATCATGTGCAGACTGTTAACCTATATTTTGAATAAAATTGAAACATGAATAAGAAGTACTTTTTCAGACAAAATATCAATGCATTCTTAATATCAAATGAAACTAAATTACATACTTCAAGAAGTCTGGCTGCACTGTTCACACTACCGGCATTAGTTATTTCTGAAGCATCTAAATTATCAATTATTGTACCTAAAAACATATTTTTTTATTAATAAAACGTGCCTTTTTCACATTAAAAGAAGAATAAAATATAAGCTTTCATTTAGTTCTGAAACAAATTTAAAAAGCCTAAAAAAGAAAAACAATGTGTCAGAACATTTTCCAGAATCTAGTCATGTAAGCATAACAAAATATGGATTAACAAAGTTATTTGCTTAACTATACTACATTTAAACTATACTGAAAAAAAAAAACTAAAACTGCTACATAAAATTAGAAAGTAAGTAGCTGTAAAAACTTTATCAAAAGCCTGAGTCTTGAAATATACTTTAAACTAATGAGTACAAGCCCAATATTACATTCTCAATTTGTTGCTTCTATGCTGCCTACTTTTATTTATAATATTGCATACATCATTTCTATGCTCCACGTAGAACCGATTTAGTGAAGGTGCTTATGTATGTAAGCACTTTCGTAGTCATCCTCAGTAGTAGTCGTAAATTCAAAATTAGGTCAGATGTTCAATGACGGTTGTAAAATAAAATTACCTCATTATTGCATGGAAAAAACATACATAGTTGGTCACATTTTATTTCTTATTATATTTAAAATAAAATCAGCAACACAATCATGAGATTGTGAAGCTGAGATATCTTCCATAAGATTTCAACATATTGGTGATTCAAGAGGGACAATACCTCATAGCATATCTCACAAATACAAATTTCAACCAATAAATGAATTTCATACAGAATAACAGAAAATCAAATTAGAACAATTTTAAAAGGGATAAAACTTTTCTCCAAGTTGTTCTTTATAAAACAGTTCAGTCTTTTAAAGGGCAAAAGAAAATTAGGAAATGTGTATAAACTTATGAAATAAGCATAGCACATATCATATGATAAAGAAGGTTGAGTAATTTTAAAGGTTAAACAAAATAGAACTTTGATACATATTTAATGAGAATTTAATCCATGGCCTACCTTTATATTTGATATTACCAAGGTGTAATAAAGCACTAAGAATTTTTAGAATTTCCCAAATTTCTTGGTCAGAAAACATAAGTACTTTCATAGCAGACCTTATATCTGAAAATTCAGCTGTATCATCTCTGCCTTCACAAGTGATGCAACCACCCTATAGGAAAGAAAAGTAAATATAATGAGAAAGTTAAAATTACAACTTAAAGGTAACTAAAGTTTAAAAAATTTTATAAAGTAATTTACCTGTGTTAGGTAATGATACTTGGAAGCATCACTAATTTCAAGTTTTTGCTTTTCTTCTCGACCAAGACCAGCTAACATACAATAAAATATGTGGTAATTTCTTTCATCGGTAGCCTAATAAAAAAAAATTATTTTGGAGAATGTGTGAAAAGGAAAAATTCATTAAAATGCATTGCAACAAAGTTAACTAAAACCGCTTTAAGCTGAGTATTATAAGTTTCAAGGTGGGTCTAATAAATTAAATAAATACTTAATTTTTTTGTAAATTAAGTTCTAAGTCAATGATTAAGCCAATCTTGATGCAAGCGTCAAGAGCCAGATGTCAGGAGCCAAATTAATAACCAGTTCAGTGAATCTCAATTAAGAAAAGCTTAGTAAGAGATTAAACTTAATACCTTTTTGGAAATTTGGAGTAATCTTCACAACCATCAATCACATTTTAATAAAATTATGTATAAAGATTGTGTTAAAATTTTAACAAAAATTGAACACTACCCTGAATGCTATAGCATGAAATTAGCAAACAGAAATGACATTAAACATATTAACCCATTAATGCCCTTAGTCATTTTCAAGGCTGGCACTCTGATGTTATTTCTTCAAGGAATTCTTTAAAATATATCGATACATATTTTTAAAAAATTTTATCATGATCAGCATACATATAATTTCATTAGATAATGTAATATTTTTTATTTATTTTTTATTTTCAAGTTGGGTTTAAAAGTAGCTTTAAGTTTGTGTAAGCTATAATAATTAAGTAAGCTATAATAGTAAGCTATAATAATAACTAAAATAATTAAACAAGTATTTCAGTAAATATTTTATTAAATATTATGGTTTTCCTATAATTTTAGATAATTAGATAACTATAGGTTTTACATAGGTTTTTAAAATTTCCTAATTTTTCAAATAACACAAAAGTGTAAAGACCAGAATTATTTTTTGTAATGAACATTTCATTATATAATGAACATTTCACAATGCTTAATATAAGTGTATGGAATATAAATGAAAAACTAAGAATTAGGCATAAATGGAATAAAATTAGAGTTACTTACCTGCCCAACGATTCGTGATTTCTCTAATAAATATTGGTCTATTCTAGCACCTTCAATTATGCCTGATTTGTTAAAGTGAATATCAATATATTTTCCAAAACGACTTGAGTTATCATTTCTTATAGTTTTAGCATTTCCAAAAGCTGAAATTGAAATAAAGAAGAAAGAAAAAATTATGGATCAACCAATATCCATTTATTTTAAGGCAACTAATTCTAAAGATTGATTTCCCAATAAAGCTATATGTAAAAAAATAATAATAAATAAATTAAATTCAACACCACTAGAATGTAGATTAAAACTGAATATATAATAGATTGAACTACAATAGATATACATATAAAAATTAAAATTTGTTAAAGAAAAAAAACACTGAAAATAATAATGTCATCTAATTTTTTTTCACTTCACTGAACAAAAAAACTCTTAATTCTCACGGATGAAAAAGACGAGGAAATAAATCAAAGTTGCTTAGAAAAACAACAAATGTTAAATACAGCAATAAAAGTTTAAAATTGAATGAACTCATTGTAATAATTTTAGTAACAGATTTCATATAAAAAGTTCTGAATATAAATAATTGTCTATCTGTTAAGTCTGTTATAGAAGTTATTTACATCTAAAGTAAAAATCTGAACGGCATATAGGAAGCAAAATCATTTCAGTGCAAGATAACAAAGAAAAAGCGTAATTTTAAAATTTACCAGTTATGAGTTAACTATTTTTCTTGGACATATAGGTCGAATCACGTGAATTAAGAATTTAACAGATTAATGATAACCATTTCCAGCATTTTCTTAGATGGGCACTTTTACACTTTCTGTTTAATAAATTCCAAAGTATTTTACTTTTTTGACTTTGTGTAACCAAAATAATAAATTATCTCATTTTGAAAAAACTATAAAGATACATGTTCACTAAACTGTTTCATATGTACTTTGTAGCAAAGAGAAAAAATTATACCTTCTAAAATAGGGTTTGCTTCTAAAATTTGTTGTTCAATCCATGAATGTTGTCCACTTATGGCAGCTAAATATTGCAATATTAGTTTAGTACTTTCCGTTTTACCAGCACCACTTTCACCACTATAAGAAAACATTTTTAAAAAATTAACACTTGAAAACAAATTTATAATTGAAAGAAAACAATTACAGCACATGATTAAATATGTATGTAACCCTTTGTTAGTCAACCTGCTGGGCAGGTGGCACTTCACTCAAAAGCCTAAAAAATCTATTTTAATTTGTATTAAAATGGTAACACAAACATACCTGATAATGATGCATTGATCTTGCTTATAGCGTTTCATATTATTATAGCTGTTGTCTCCTATGGCAAAGATGTGAGGTGGTAACTCACCAATTTTCTTATCTTTATAAAGTTTTATTTGTTCTGCTGTGTAAATGGGAAGGATTTGATATGGATTAACAGCAACCAAAATAGAGCCTGTGTAAGTCTAAAATCATGAAACAAAAGTAATTATATTCTTGAATATTGTAAAACAATTTAAAAATACACAAAAAAATATGAATTTTAAAAGATTTAATACTAACATAAATGAGATTTTCATTGTATCTGATTAAAAGATTCCTTAAAATTCCAGCTTCATGCAAATCACCTAATGATATCATATCTTCCACTCCTTGAATTGAGGTAGGATGCATGGCTTTGATCCTTCTCTCTGGCGTGAGCCATAGATCCTAAAAAGTGACATAGTTGAAGTACAATATGAAATAAATACAATAGGAAAATAGCTTTCACTAGGTAAAAAATATCAACCTTTCCATCATCATCAATGACTTGTATTCTCCTTCCCTCAGCAGATGTTACTCTTGCACCGATGGCAACATCAAATTCTTTTTTCGTTTGAGGTTCTATCCAAATATAATCTCCCTAAAATTGCAAAGAATTAGAAGTTCATTAAATATATTAATGTTATTAGATACATTCATTTGAAAATTTCACAATTTTAAGTAAATACTAATTTTAATACGAACTGACACTTAAGTATCAGTTCAAAAAGTAGCATTTTGGCTCATATATTATCACATGTGAAATCATAAAAAACAAATTCTTATTACTGAAATTAGATATATATTTTACTATAGAAATAGCCCAAAATAAATCATAGATTTATCGAATTCAGCATACAAGTGTCATGGAGCAAATACAGCACACTATTGGAAACTGACCTAGCTTGCATGTAAGTATACCTTTATGCTGACATATTTTTTTTTATCTTCATGAAATCTGTAAAATTTTAAATGCAATGAAGTACAATAGTTTTATAAAAGTTTAAGCTAACTGGTAATAGATTTTTAAAATATTAGTATAAATTATTAACCATTTGCTTATAACTTGCACAACAAGTAGGCTCAAATAACAAGCTTTAGCATGCTAAACACCATATTTAGAAGTTTAATATCAAATAACTGAAATAATTGATTAAAAAAAAGCTTTGAAAGATACTCAATTCTTTACATTTTTTACCTAAATTAATTTTGAAAAGAATTTTTTTTTTAAATAATATTTTATTTGGTTTCATCATCATCAATAGCTCGATAGCCAAGGGAGGGCCTTGGCCTTCTCAAGAAGTTTTTTCCTAACTAACCTTTTTCCTGTTAGTGTTTTTTAGTTTTTAGCTTTTAAGACCAAAAGGTCTTTTTCTAGGTCATCTATCCATCTCAAATTCGGCCTGCCTCTTTTCCGTGTGCCAACTGGTCTGATATTAAAAACTCTTTTTGGGGTACGGTCTTCATCCATTCTGATAACGTGGCCTGTCCATTTTATTCTTTGTCGTTTAATAAAGTTAATAATGTCAGGTTCATTATATGAGTGATAAAGCTCTAGGTTTGATCTTTTAAGCCATACACCATTTTTTTTAAATTCCTCCAAAAAATACTTCTCAAGAGCTTTCTCTCAAAGGTACCCAACATAGCCTCATCTGTACAAGATATGATCCAGATTTTTATTTGGTTTACAAATTATATTTTCCATGACATAGCTTTTTTTCTTTCACTCTAATTTTTCATAAACGAATTTTATTGTAAGTTCGAAAAACTTCTGTTTAAAAAAATTAATTTAAAAAAAAAAGATACAATTCCAGAAAACTAAAAAAAATTAAAGGAAAAAAATCTCTGAATAAATTACAAACTAAAACTACAACAATTCGAAAAAGAAAAAAACTTTGTTTAATGGCAAATGAACAGAAAAACAACAATGAAAAAGGTAGTTAACGCGAAAGTAGGTTTTTGGTTTATCATGTAAGTTAAGAAACCAAAAAGAAATTTTTTAAGATATTTTTTGAGAATTCATCAACATTTTGTCAGTTAGAGGTAAAACTAAATGAGAAAGGGTTAAAGATAGTAATCATTCTTATGTGTAGTTTGCACACCAATTACTCATTGGCAGTTCAAATAAAAGTAATAAAGAAAAAGCCAGCAATACACATTTTATTAAATTAGCCATAATAGCAATAAAATTAAGCAAATGAATTGGTTAAAATGTTTTAGTAATAAGTGTTAGAAGTGATATATTAATAAATGTTAAAAATATTTTATTTTGTGTTTAAGTAGGGTAAACCAACCAGTGAAGGAGCACAATCCAGTGAAGGAACATTTCATATATATTGATTAAAAATAAGAATTTGAAAATTTTTCTTTAGATTGATTGGCAACAATAGCTTACTGCCAAACAATAGGAAGTCATCTAGCAATGTTTTGGATTACCTGGTCAAATAGACTTCTCTGAAAAAATTTTTGAATTTGTTATTATCTCTGCAACACCTTGCTTCTTTGAAAAAATTATAAGGTGGAGTGTTTGTATTTATATGTTCGAAGTGGAATAAATTGCTTGTAATAGTTTTATTTTTCTCACTGTGAAAAAGAGAATTCAAAATATAGATATCGAAGTTACGTTTTATTTTTTTTTAAAGCATCATAGCATAATAAAGTACTGAGATAAGGGGGTGTTTATTCACTGGATCACCAAACGATGAAAAACCAGTGAAGGAACAAGTGTTCTTTAACTGGTTTTTTTTCTAAGTTAATGAAAATAAAAGATAAAACTTTAATTTTCCTGTACCTTTAGTGATGTTCCGCATCAAAAGTATGTTAAAAATATGAAAAACAACTTCTAACCAGTGAGGGAACAGACATGTTCCTTTACTGGGCATAGATTTCCCAGTGAATGAACAGTATGTGTTAATATGTTATAATTTCAAGAATAAGCTTATTTTTAAATATTTGTATGGCTTATAAATTCATAAAGAGCATTAAAAAATACTCAAAATTAAGTGTTCCTTTACTGGGTGTTCATTCACTGCTAAGAGCGGTTCCTTCACTTAGTCTTCTAACTACTTGTTATTTGAACCTCCAAAACTTTAAAACAATATAATGTAAGTTTTCTACAATTTTACATAATTTGCAATTAGTAACAAATATGTTGACACTGTCATTTAACTTAAATTGCGAATTTTGAAATTAATATGATTTTTTAAAAGGGAAGCGAAGCTTAAGTGTTCCCCTTCAATGGTTAGTTTACCCTATTCAATTCAAGTTTAAAAGTTGTTCAATAATACAATATATTCGTCAACTCTAAAATTCTCAAATCCGTTCAATTTTTGATGCAGGAATGGTAAATAATATTCAGTATTGGCTTTAGAATAAGCGCAACATTTATAAAAGTGGGTTAGTTGATTGTGGAGTTCAATGGCAGAAGAGATGGAAGTGACAATAAGATGGTTTTATGTACAACAGTAAATTTATCGCGGCAGTGAAAAAGAAAATTAGAAATTTTCTTACATCTTCTTATTATAATTTTCTTATGATAATATATATTTCTTTTAGTAATAATTTTCTTACAATGATTAAAAATTTTCTTCTTGCTTATAATAAGACCTAAGACCACATGATCATTCCCAAAGGTTTTTGTCTTGTATGAAATTTTTGAGAATATTGGCGAGAAGCTTAAATAAAACTTTCACATACAGAAATTCCGATCAGAAAGTAAGTTAATATAAGAATATATAATTTCAAAAAAAATTATAAATATATTTTTCAAACAAATGCAAAAAAAAAAAAATATCAATAGTTTAGTGAACATGAAATCTAAGTCTCGTTTGGCGCCCCCACAATCTAGAGTTACGGCGATCGACCGCCGATCGTCATTGAGAATATCATTCTGAACACCCACTCTATAAAGACAAAACATTTACCCAAGCAAGAGTAAACGTAAATTAAAAAAGTATACAACTTTTTCATGTTCATAACTTTCAATATTAAGCTCATTATTCCTGCAATAACTTTTCGAAGATGTTACGTAACTACTGTACAAAAAGAGAAACATTGAGTCATATAACGCTGTTGGATCAATCTAAATGTGAGCTAACACAAGTACAGCAATAAATAGTATTTCCCCATTCAATAAATGATGGGATCAGCTGACTAACAATGAAGCTACAGACCACAATTCTTAAACGTCAAAGAGTCTTGATGTTCTGCTTGGTCAGCGATGCGTAACATCTGATATTAATCAAATTCCACTAGCGATTGTTAATAATCATTTATTTATTTAGAACGTTTTTCAAAGTTCAAACAGTAATTTTTACCTAACGTACTTCAAAGAGAAATCATTCACAAAAAATATTCATTTTCTTTACATAAAGTCAATAATGATGATGCTTAAAAATAATCGTATTAAAAATACTCGCTTAAAAATATTCGTGAATTAAATGATGATGCTAAAAAATTTGCATCAAGTATCTAATTTTTTTTAAGAACATCACATTTATTTCTCAATAAATACGATGGCTCTTAAAATGGTAAAGGCTTCTAAAAATTGCCTCTTGTCAGCCCACAAGAGTTTGAGCAAGACAAAACAATCATTGGCCTTAGGAATTACTTTGTCTATTTCTCCTGGTCAACACATAAAAATCTATAAAATAGGTTCAGTTAAACTGATTTTCTGAGTAGCGTGTAAAATTTTATGCTTTGGTATTATTAATTTTATATTAAAGAAGACGTATGATGAAAATTGTCAGGAACTATTCATTCGATTTCGCTCAAATTTTGTATTTTGCCATGTAAAATTACATACAGACGTAAAAATTTGTATACCATACAATTCAAAAAGTTTTTCGACTACTATTAATGAAAATAATAAAAAATAATAGATACTAACTAAAATTTCTCTTTTTGCATGGAAGTATCCTTGAATAAGCGAATTTAATAATTGCGTGCAAAAAATTTTCAATTTGCTTTATAAGTTCTCGAGATAGGGCGAAATACGTAAAAAATTAACATTAAGGGTTCCAAACGTTGGATCACTCTCCTGACCAAACATGGGGGGGACATTTCCCCCTATTGCGGTTACCCCCTATATCTTGTGGATCAGAAATCCGAATCCGTTGGGAAAAAAAGTATGGTTATTCAGAGAAAGTACGTTTTTGTGTCTGATTTCGTAACTTAAAATATCGTCTTCACCAATTAATTAGAACCCTTGAAGTCACCTCTTCGAACCATTAAGAAGGAGTCCTAGAACGCGAAAATCCGATGATTAAATCAAAAGTTATTCAGGGTGGTCCGTTTTTAGGCGCATTGTTGTACATACACTGGACATATATGTATTGTATACATATGTACGTAAATATATATGTATATTACTTAATTAATTTTCAGATTGTGATATAAAAATTGCATCTATGAAAAGCAGTAACATATTTTCATTTAGATTTAGTTGATATGCTCTATTATTTATTATTTAAATTTAAAAAATTACTTTTTTGCTATGTCAGATTTAAATAATATTCCTTGATTTTTTTATATATATTCTGTGAAATCGAAGGAATTAACACCCTCTTATAAACAGTGAAATATTACCAAAAAATTAAAAAG